TAGTCTGATTTAAAGATGTCTGTCTTACCAGAGGTCAAAAAGGAAGGCTCTACAATATACATATATATTTATATATATTTATATTAAATGTGACTATTGAAAACGCACCGGAGGGGGTCGGAAGTGTTGAAAATGAAGTTTATCATTGTTTTCTGATTCTCCGTCCATCAAGTGACACAGAGGAAAGGGGGGATTCAATCATTCTAACAGATTATAATATAATACTATTACTTATTGATATAGAAATTATTATTTTGTGGGAGAAGTGTAGCTCGATGTAAATTGGACTGAAAGCCAACTGAACTGTAAGGGTAATTTAATTCCCACAATCTAACTTCAGAACAACGGAGAAAACACAGAATATACGTGAATAATACTGGCTGGCTGAACCCTTTTCACAACTTCATCAAGTACTATTGACTCAATATTAACAAAGAAGGAAAAAATAAATAAACTTGCAAAATGACTCACAATGTACATCAGGAAAAGTTCTCTCTTTCCAACCTCCCTTGGTGGGACGGGTGTTTGGTAAAGTCCATTTGGTTCTAATTATTGGGGAAACTGATGTTAAATAGCAACGTGTCCCCTTAAATTTAGAAAATCTTTTTTCTACCACCACTTCTATAGCTAAGAATGACACAATGACTTCTCTTTAACTCCACCTTGAGGTGTGTGTGTGTGTGTGTGTGTTGCTTTGTGCGTGTTATGCATTCACATACATGTGTAAACGTGACTCCTCTCCGTACGCCGGCTTCTCTCCCTGAACGCCCCGTCTCCGCTCCTCTCATCGTCGGCGTCAATCTGCGGCTGTCGCCGGGAGCCGGACAGTGACTAACGACACTCCCAGTCAGTCAAACACTTATCACCACACAGGTACCACGCAGGCCTGGAAATGACTGACATGAAATGGAAACGTCTCTCATTCTGTGGGCCGGGGAGCTGAAGTGAAATATTAGCTGTGGGAGCGATGGCGGCTGATAAGGGGCTCCCCGGTTTGGGCTGGATTTGTGGAGGTCCAAGTTCTATTACCTTTGGGAGTGCTGTGATAGAGGACGGCCCTCCTTATCCTTTTGCTTTCTTGTTTGCATTATTTCATTGTTTTTCTCTGCAAAACGCTTCACAATTGCTAATGAGGCTCCTAACTTTCCCGATGGGCTTTTGTGCGCCTCGCTGTGTGATTGTGTGTGTTGTTGATAAATAAGCCATCGTCTCTGGGACTTTCTGTGGTCCACAGAATCAGACCGTTGGCCGGATGAAACCGGCCCGTTCGATGTCAATGGGTCACATATGCTTACTCTGTCCCTCCTATTACTCATAGACTCCACCACGTCCTCCCTCTTTGTATTCCCCTCACACACACACACACACACACACACACACACACTCACTCGCAATTCCCCCTGTGCAGAAAGATGGATGGGATGTTCCCAAACCACAGGTGTTGCTCTACTTGTGAGTCTTTTCATATTCTTCACAATGAAGTCCGGACCTGCTGGGTTTTGACTTTTCACTGTTTTCCCCGGTGGTGATTACTGCGGCCCTTCACTGGTGGGGTAATGAGGAGCATGGAATATTAGTAATACAGCATACGATCAATCTGCTTGTCTATTAGCAGCTCTTTGGGAATGATATTCTGCTGCAGGAAGAGACCAACTCAGGCTTGAAGCTTTGATATTCACTACTTTTCCCTCAGACTTGACCTCCCATCCAGACCGCCACTAGATGGGGTCGTTTTCGTTTCCAAAGTGTGTGTGTGTGTGTGTGTGTGTGTGTGTGTGTTTCCCGGTGGCTCATTGGATCCTGAACCACAGCAGACTGCCTGCGCTGAGCAAGCTACGCCACCGTGTGGTGGATTTAATGGAAGCAAAGCGCCCACTTATTGATTATGGCGTTTTATACAGATGTGCGGGAGATGGACCGAACATCACCACAGAACGAGGCTGTGAGGGCACTTTTACCTCTGCAGGGTACACAAGAAAGTAGTTCAGCTGATTTAGAAAATCTGAAGTAAGGATTCGGATGTATTTATCCAAATATATTTGCAAATTTGAAAGAAAACTCCTATAGTGTTCACTCAAGTACTGTACCTGAGGAACCTAACCTTTTGTTAAATACCTCTATTCTATTCTTTTTTTTGTTCATTTAAATAACAGGAATAAGCGTTACAAATGGAATACAATGAAAACATTTTTAAACCAGCGGTTCATGAGGGTTTGCCTAGCGACCTTGAGATATGTGAAATATTTAAAGTAGATATTATGATAGTATAAACACTTTATAGACAGAAAGAAAGAAAACATCAAGCCTAAACAATCAAGATCACCACCCTTTTCATAGCATTCACTACACACGTTTTCTATCACCTGAAACTGATCTAATCTAATAACTGTCAATACGAAAAAAACTGCATTTTGCAACAGGGCATGACGCACATATCTGCAGTTTCTCCTTTTTGAGACTGCGTGACACACTCTCCCTTGGTTGCGCTCAACAGAGGACAACACAGAGGAAGTCGCACGTGATCCACGCGCAAGAATGACGTTTGTAGGTTGAACTGGAATATGCCCACGGTGTGCAGAACAGTAACGTGGCAGCGAGACAACTGACACAAATTAAAGCTGTGCGCAGGGCCCCCCCCCCCTCCCCGACGTCCACTGCGAGACGCTTTCACTGAACCCCGAGCACGTTGTTGTTGACTCGACTGAGGGCTTCCTGTCGTGAGAGGATGGAGCGGTGCGAGGCGGCAGAAGGAACGAACGTGTGCCTGTGGTCTCACCTGAATTCAGCAGGTAGGCTGAGGTAGTCTGGCGCTAACCTCAGTGACCACAATAACACCGGGTTCGTTCTGTTCTCCGTCAATGTGTGAGACTGTCACGCTTCCCTGGGGCTTTTGTAGCAAGGCCCTCCGCTCATAAACACTTTGTTTTGTTTAGTTTACTTCGGCGGTTGCTGGTTAGCGTGCTAATTTAAGTAGATATCTCTTGAATGTGAGAATGTTACAGCGTCAACATTGTAACCTCCTCATAATGTCAGCTTGTTTTTATCGCTTTTAACCAGACTTCCCGCCATTGTGCCTTCTTTGCATTAAATAAATAGGGAGTCGGGTAATGGAGATCACACATCCAAACACAATGCCACCCTCAAGCTCTAAGAGATGCCTTATTGTGCTCTACATTCTGTTTTACTGTGTTAAATGTCTCCACTTCTTCTGTGTTGGGAACGGCACAGGGCCACGGTGTTGGTTAATAACTAGTGTGACATTAAATCATCAATAGAATTAATTATAATCACTTCATAAAATAAATAAATAACGGGGCACCACCCTGAAAACGGCGTAATAACCAAGCAATAAATTGAAGGTTTGAGTTCGTACGCTGCTGCGATGTTTCCAGCCAGCATTACAGTACACACATCACAGAAAAATGCTCTTTAAAGTATAACATGGTTTATTAACGTTCAACAGTACTAATCAGATCAGAACCATTTGAAATCAACAAAAGCTGTTATACAATATCTTAACATCTAAACAACAAATGAAAACATTCAATCGTGCATGTGGAGGGGGAGGTGCGTGTGTGTGTGCGTGTGTGTGTGTGTGTGTGGTGTGTGAGATAAGGAGAGCTCAGGAAGGGAGGTAGCTGATCGACCACATGGCCGAGGTGGTGTGTTTGTACATCACTTGTGTTCCTCACACACGTTTCTGCGTTTTTCTCCAGTTTCGTTTTCCTCGGTGTCCAATCAGTCCTTGGACACCGCAGGGATCGATTGGGGGCGATGGGGACTGTTGGGTTTCTTGGTGGCACAAAAGCTGTGGTTACACGGACGTTATACCCAAGAGTTTTCCCTCTTGGTGAGCTGAAGTGGGGACTGGGGGAGCGACTAGGAAATGGTTTTGGTTGGTTTTATGTCCTGCAGCAGAACACTGCATTCGAAGGTCAGCCTTGGTTTTACAGTATGGTGGGAGGCCAACATCTGCATGCAAGGATTCTGTTGGACGCTAGTTCCAACAAGTACAGCTGTGATTTCTCCAATGTGCGATCCAAAGAACCACGGTGGCCTGTGCTGGGACCCTCTCTAGAGTGAGAGGGTGTTTTTTTCATTCAAGGAAACGACCATCGAAAGTTTCAGACTCCCTTGATGTCAATGGCATATTCAAGGTGATGTCGTTTTCCATTTCTGCCAATAGATGCTACTCTCTGGCCGTTTCTGCTGATATGGTTACACCAAGGTAGGAGGGCTGGTTCCACTGATACTCTGGTAAACTGGTGTTCATTCTCCCGACCTCTTAGGTCCCGGCATTGACCTTCGATGTTGCCGGTCAGACTTGTACCTTGAATTTCACGTCAATTGTCTTGTCTTTTTACTAAACAGAAAAACGCCGTGACAATGATTCAGTTTCCCTCTTTTTGATGGTTATGAATCTGAACAGGAGAAGTATTTTTAGGAGTTTTGAGGAGATTGTGGGAAACCACATTCATGGCAGTTTGAATGAGCCGCCACTGTGAAACCGCCGAGTCATATCCAGACAAGCTCGGCTAAGAGGCGATGACGCAGACTGTCGACAGCGGGACATCTGGTCAGATCGAAAACATTGTAAGGCCCCATTCAAGTGTTTCCAACCACACCAGATACGTTACACCACCAAACCAAATGCTTTCCCATGTATCGTAGATGTGAGATCGCTGCCCTCACTTTCCTCTGCTTTTTGTTTCGTAGTACATATCCCACAGTACTCAGAACAGAAGTATTTTTTTTGCACAGAAAAGCAATCAAGATGTCTGCAGTGTCCTTTAATTGTATTTGTTTTTACGGGAAAGACATTTTTTAATTTGGTTACAGCAGGTGACAAATGCACGATGGAAAGAACGTAAGAATACAAACAATAAAAAAGTTATTTACACAAATATACAGTTTTTACAGTTTCTCCAGAATGGTCTGGATATTTTGAAGTTCTACATCTAAAGAAATCTCTCTTTAAAAGAGCAAGTAATGCTTGTTAAACTAAGCGTGGGCCTCAGGTCTATATAGAAAGGGCGGGGGTGGTGTCGGTGTCCGACATGACGGAGGGACGTTTGGGGACGGCGTGCATTTTACTGAGCCCCCCTTTCCCCAAACTGGCCGAACACACAATCCTGTGTGTTCGGCCAGTGTCCTTCACAATCCTCACGAGGTCTTGTCTGAATCGCACTCCGATGAAGACGTACAGGAACGGGTTCAGGCAGGCGTGAGTAAAGGCCAGGCTCTTGGCGATCTGTCCCGCTATGTCGACGGCAGCTATGACGTCACACTTGGTGATGGTAGTTTTGGCTGCCTGTGTGGCCTCCACCACCAGCAGAGCGTTGTGAGGCAACTGAGAGAGAACAAACACAAACACCACGACAAAGACGACCCGCAGGGCCTTGTGCTTCTCGAAGCTCTTGGCCTGCAGGAGTGTGCGAATGATGACCGAGTAACAGAATAACATGACGAGCAGAGGGAGGAAGAAGCCCACGCAGATCTGCAGGGACAGAACAAGGATCTTCGTGCGGTTGAACGCGTTGTTCCAGTAAACCAGAGTACACAAAACCTGCCCATTTCGGTCAGTCACCTGGGCGAAAATGAACTCGGGGAGGGCCAGCAGAGCGGAGAACGTCCAGACACCCAGGCAGGCCAGCTTGCTGTAGAACAGCCTCTTTTTCTTCAGGTTCTGGGCCTTGGTGACTTGCACGATAGCGATGTAGCGGTCCACGCTAATGCAGGTGAGCAGGAGCATGCCACTGAAGAAGTTGATTTTATAGACCGCTGAAACTATTTTGCAGAGGCTGATTCCAAAGTTCCAGCCCTTGATAGAATCGACCGCCAAGAAGGGCAGCATGCACAGGAAGAGGAGGTCGGCCACGGCCAGGTTGAGCAGGTACACGTCGGTCATGGTTTTCAGGCGGTGGCGCACGGTGGTGTAGATCCAGACCACCAGCAGGTTCCCCACGGCGCCCAGGAGGAAGATGATCCAGAAGAGAGGCGGTTCCCACTGGCCACGGAAATCCCTGACCCACCCTCTGTCACACATGCCTGAGCTTTCAGTCGGATCTGACCCGTAGTCGTATTCAGACGAGTCCTGCAACCGGAAAACTCATTAGCTGGTTCAATATTCGAGTTGCTTTTGTGGTAGACACTGGTGGAAAATACTTATTTAAGTACTTTACTTTGCACTTTACATGAGTGTTTTCATTTTCTGCTACTTTAATATTTTACTTTTTACTTCTGTGAATTTGTTTGATACCTTTGGTTGCAGCAATAATATAAAATGAAGAAAAGAAAATAATTTGATTTATTATTTCGGGTAAAGAGAACTGTGCCAAGAGCCAAATATTTAGAAACATATTTAGGTTGTGGATTCACAGTGTTTCTCAGGTGTTTGGCCCCCGGTAGGGCAAAAGGTTTTTGACCGCTAAACCGCATGTTTAAATCTACCATGAACTGCTGCATGTTAACCTGGAATAAATGACTTTAAACCGTACCAGTGGACTCTATCTAATGTTTCCCATACAACGATGCGAAACCAACAGCGCGTCACCCGGGTCACCCCGGAGGTGGATACACATCAGTAGCTCAACAGTTCAAAAGTTGACTGAGCTCCTTTAACCTTAGTCGAAAACCCTTTGCTCCTCCGGGTCAAACACCGTGAATCCACAACCTAAATACCGTGCTAATAAGTGCAGGGAACACAGATCTGACGTCACACCCATATTTGGCTCTTACAAGAACCATTGCTGAAAAGCACAAGCTACCTGACAATATATATATACATATATGTATATATATGTGGGGTGTATATATATATATATATATATGTATAACTCAAGGACGCAACACAATAATTCATCTGCTTTTGCTTTTACTTGTTTAAAAAACTGTACGTTCTGCACCACTGCCATTTTTTGATCACTTTTCATTTCCTGTCCCTGCTGTCAGGGTTTCACAACATAACGTGCCTCTAGGAGACAGTGATGTGACATCAAAAGCGGTCGGTGACGTACACGTTAACCAGAGCGTGCGAAAAAAAGAGAAAGAAAAACTCTGGCAGGTGCAGGTGTTGTGTCTGTGCAGGAGAAACCACACAGCTCGCTGCTGCTCCTGTCCCGGCCTGGGGAGGAGGGGAGGGGGTAACTGAACTCGAGGGGCTCCAGAAAGGGGCGCGCAGGAGAACTCAGTACCCCCAGAAGTATCGAGTTTTAGATTTAGGGCAGAGATAAACGGCGAGGGGGGCTGAGGCTGAGCTTTTCTCAAACAATGGAAAGTGTGACGCTGATGTGGCAGCATCAGCGTCCCACAGATGTGTGGCAGATAAACTGCTCTGCAGTAACACAATTTCAAGTATTTTCTGCTAATGATTAGTGAAAATAGTTAATTGATTGATATGAGACGCAAACACCAAACAGTACAATTTCAGTGAGACATTGGGACTTGTTTTCAGACATTGCATCTTTTAGAATTTAGAATTACAGGCTGTGCCACATAACATTTTTAATACTATTCAACTATAGATCAATCAGCTCCTCCAGATAAATGCAAGACCTGTTTTTGGTTTGAAATGATATAATATTCCATGTTATTTCACAAAATCTTAACACAATCTTAACACAATCTCAACCCAATGAACGCAACACATAACATTTCATTCATTGTGTTTTATTTTTGATGTGGTCTGTGAAATAACCATATAACCATATTTGATGAACAGCCCTGCCTTGGCTTTGTTGACACAGCAACCTGCGGACTATGCGTTTTTAAAGCATATTGTAAATACTAAAGCGTAATAAAACATTGAGCCACACATGCACGTTTGTTTCCCTTTTTGTGATGGTGAGTGGTTAACAACACTTTGTTCCACACCAGCCGGTTTAGTAAAACCGGCACCAAAATGTTCTCTACCACATTCATTGTTTGATTGAACATTTGATTATCTCAAATAAATACTTACTGTTCCATTAAAATCAGCTCCGTCAAAATCAGTCCCAGCGGTCATATAAGTTGTAAATGTATCTTCCATGTTATCTACAAAGAACAGCAGGATATTAGTATGACAAAGTTGTAAAAATGTAATAAAATAACAAGAATGATATAAAATACGAATGGCTGAATGCAGTTGTGTAGCAATGCAACAAATCACTTACCCATTGAATGAGACGAAGGGAGCAACTACTCGCTCTTGTTTTCTGTGGGTAGTAAAACTGGTGACTTGAGCACACAGACGTATCTTCACTTGCTTATATGGTTTCCCTTTAACCACAGGGATCACGTGCTCTCCATCTCCTACTCTGCAGTCTGCAGACAAAGAATCACACATGAGCCTCGACTACTCGCCATAAACAAAGCTTTTCTATGGAATATGCATTGAATCGAATGGCAACTTGTTTCCAAAAATGATCTTGGAACAGTGAGCTTCAAAGGGAAGCTGTGAAAATAAAACCGAAGCAATACACCCGCATTCCTTCCACAGCCAATTGAGTTTTTATCAAGTCAAAGCCTGTTTTTGACACAAGTGCAGCGCTTAAGACAACAGATGAGTAATGCACGCAACACCTGAATGAGGAAGTCAATGTGGAGGTGTTGTAAGCCGCGTTGTCACACCTCCAGGCACTGTGGCTTAAAATGACTGTCCAAGCATCAAATATCTTTCCTTTTTTTAAGCTGGGGTGGAAGCACATTCTCTTGAAGTTCCCAGCTCGTTGAAGTTCATTTAAAGGAACAACTCAACCTTTTGGGACATTTTTGTTCATCTTGTTGGGGGAAAACATCCATTGTTTGTCTGCACGGTAAATATCAATGTGGAACGAGGAGTCAAAAATGCCAAACCATGCCCTCAACTTGAAGTCCGGCTCATACTGTAGCATAGCCACTGCAAAAACAACACATGCGACTAGCACGTGTCTCCTCTATCGCTGCTATTCATGTGACATGTTTTGCAAAAAAAACAAGAACCTGCGGGAAAATAGGGAAATTCAAAACGTATTAATGTTGACGAGCAAAGGGAAATTAACATCGTGACAAATAGTCACATTTCCGACCACACAGCGAAATATGGCAAAGTAAAAAGTCCCATTTATTGTTTAGAGTTTTCTGGTTGTTTCTGCGGGTTTTCTGTTACTCTTGTGGGGACTATTTTGGCCCTTGTAACGGACGAGAGTGTGGGGCTCCGTCTTCTCTGTCACACCACCCGGGCTCATATTGTGAAGAGGAGATCGCCTCAGATTTCCACCAAACGCCGGTTGCCTTTCTCGGTTTTGCTCAGCGAGACAAAGGGAAACTGCCGCATCATGATCAGACGAGCGTTCTCCTTCTGGGAACGAGCTGTTTGAAGAAAGGTGGTAGACTGAGAGGTTTCACTCCCACAGCATCAGTGAGAAGCTAATTGGGTTTATCGTTGCGGTCTGTCAGCATATAAAACACCGTGCATCGACTTTTTATGTACGGAGAGGATTTGACTGATCTCATAGGCCACGTGTGAATAATAAAAGCCTTTATTACAGTCACCTGGTACGTCACAAAGGAAAGGTCACCAGACACAGATCTCTTCAACTGATCAACTGTTACGGTCCCTCATGTTCTACATAATATAACTCTGCACGGCAGTGTGTGTTGCGTTTTCAGCAATTGCGTCATCTTCGTTTAAATGCAAGTCAAAAAGTTTCGCAAGTGACAAAAAACTCCCTTGAGCAATAATCCAGAGGTGACTGAAATATCCATTTGACATGCGTTAGTCGTGATCTGTGCAACTTCTCATTGCAAGCTGCCCACTCAGATTATCAGTAAATATTGAACTCACAGCGGCAGAGATCTCACATGACATTTTGGTAACTGTGATAACAATGCTGCCCAACACGCCATCGGCCTCTGTCACAACCCACATGGATACAGCCACAACCTTTCGGTCAGCTGAGGAGCCAGTCGGTGAGTCACAGAGATGAAGGCAGACGCACAAGACATGTGGGGGGGGGGGAATAAACACTGAATAGTTGATGTGTGCTTTGGAGTTTTTCCTTGAACCGTGGAATACTTGCAGCAGAACGTTTCACTGTATCACACAGTCGTCCAAATGGTGTGCTAACACTGCTAAATAGGGAAGCAAAGTGTGAATCTGATGTATCCATGTAGTCAAAATGTATTTTAAGTTTACAAACCTGAGACACAATGGGGGACGTCTCGTTTGATTGCATACTTACTTTACCATCTGTCACACTGACATTCGGGGAAACGTTTCATCCCAAGAACACCGCAGCTCTCTGGTCACACAAATTCTGAACTGCGAAACCAAGCAAAGCTGCGCGTGGTGATTCTGGAGAGAAACTGAGCAACAGATGCTTTAGTGTTACTGGTGAAACTGAGAAAACCCCTTTGATGCATTGTCGTTGAGCAGGAAGTCGCTGTGAGTGAGTGCACAGCTCTCGCGTGTATTAGCAGGAGCCCCACACTGTGGGAAAGTGCTGTGCGCGTCGCCGCTGATAGTGACGTTCAGAACGGAGAGAGACACAAGCCACCACTTCCTGTGTACCTGCTTGCTGTGATTTATGTCCTGCGCTCACAGACAAACTCTTCAGCAAACAAACTTCTGCTGATACCTTCGGCATCCACCGCGTATGATAAGAAAGGATGCATAGTGTTGCGCACGTATCACTTTTAACACTGTGTCTTTTGACAGCAGAGCAGACAGGTTATGAAGAAGCTGGTTGTTAAGTGTTCCATAACGAACACATGTGTTTTCTTCTTAGTTTCCTTCCCGTTTCGCACCATAAATGCAAGTACACCACATGATGCAAAAGAAGCACAAGTGTAACTCAGGACCGACTGCGGCTGAAAGAGTTTCACTGAAAACAAGGGGTTGGCAAGGGGGGCGCTTGTGACCGCTATTTGCATCCACTGTGGTGACCACAACCAATGCAAAAACAAAGGGCCTGTCAGTCTCTGAGCACTTTATACACCTACCTAAGGAAGCAGAAGTAAATCGTTATACTCTATACTCTACTCCGTACAGGCATCCACCGATAACATGCTGTCAGAGATACCAGGGGCCTCCTTCCTAAAGAGGGCGGATGTGTCCCTCGTATAATTGAGTGTTCACACGTGCCCCGGCTTGCAAAACCATTCAGTGGATAAAACATGAACCAATACTGAAAATAGCACATCATAGTCCACGTCCCCTTTAGTACTTCATAGTCATTTAGTAACATTAATTGTATAAATGAATGCCACAGTTCATAAATCATACATTCAGAGGCATATCGCTTAAGATGATGTGAATCTTTGCATACTGGCGCCCCCTTGTTGAAGCAGCCAGTTACTGACGCAGTGCGGTTTAATCATTCTTGAATGATAAAAATAACCAACATCACATAATCAATGTATATGTCCTATGTCTCCTTCAAACGTTTTATTGTTTACTGCGAGTGTCACAATATGCTAAAGTCAATCCCAGCATGCATTGGGTCAGAGAAGAGGTACAACCCGTTTTCAGTCCTCACCCAGGTGTATTTATGAGTAGATGTTCTCAAAGCCAGAAAATACAAGAATAGAATTGGTGTGCTTTGCATTTAAATGGTTAACTAGAGAAAAACAAGTACATAACTCACTAAGTGACTACACGTTTATTTGTGAACAGCGTTTATTACCTCATATTTCGCACAATACAAACAAATGCACAGCTAGTGTAATATAAAGTAGATGTATCATACTCTACAAGAGTATTACTTCATGAACATCATGTATACGCTCCATTGTCCACAGCAATACGAAAAGTACAGTTAAAGAGCCCAGACAAAAATATTCTATGCCCTTTGTGTGGGAAAGAATGGAAATCATTTCAGATCACTATCGCCGTCTTTCAAATAGCAAGAGCAGAAAATACAAATGCAAATACAAATTTTGAGATTTTATCGGTCAAATCGGAAATATTTTTCTGTGTGAAATGCAATACAAATTTCAAATCAAAGCAAAAGCTCGGTAAACATTAATTTTAAGCTGTTCACTCTTGATAAACACACTGGCTTGGGGTTTGCCTGGCTCTAACTCAAACACTTTGCACTAGCACAGGGAGCGCTGGAGGCCCGGTCAGCAGAACACCCAATGATCTACTATCAGCTGCTGAAGGCTAAACACCACCTGTAACAATCCGATAGACACGACGGCAGTGCTTCTGGCAGGCACTGCGTGTCTGCCGGGTCAGGAAATGGACAAGGCCTCTTTAAACAGGGACGTGATGGTAATTGCATAGAGCACTGAGGGACGTCTGCTCGCTACAGTCAGTCAGCTCCACAACCGGGACGTAGAAGAAAAAGAAAGAGCACAGCCGGAGAAAGGCTATCGTTTGTCACTACTTCCCGCTCTGCTCACACTCTTTGCTAAAGCCAATATGTACTGAAGATGCCGGATAAAGCATGAATAAACAATTCCTCGCAGAAGCGCTGTTTTCTGTCTCTCTTGTCTTGCAGCGGTGGAACGGGTGGTTTGTTGTTCCCGTCGAACCCTCTGGACACACGTCGCCTAGAACTCATTCACTGGGCTCGTATCTGAAACACACAAGCGGTAGCAGAGTAACACAACGGAAAGTAGTTTTAAGCCCTGAAGGAAACAGTAAGATGAACTTGAAGGGCCATAACGTCGTGTTTGTGACGTTTTTTTAAATAACACATCTGTCATTTTGTGGCACCAGCACCGTGTCACACTCAAATCTCACCTCTGCAATCGTTTTCTAATGTCTTTGATCTGCTCATTTTTTTTTGTCAGGATCTCCTTCATGTTGCGGTAGGCCGCAGTTTGCTGGAACTTCTTGTCCAACTCCTGCACACCAAACAAACATAAACACGTGAAAATAACTGCAACAGGAGCTGAACGCACTAATACCAACTGTTTCTATAGCCGTGCACTTCTGCCGCGAGCATGTCTGGTTAACACTACAGGTAAAAACTACAGTGTCACACCTTCTCTGCCAAGGACAGCTGCTCCTGCACTCGCAGGAGATCATGTTTGGCGGAGACCAGGTTTTCCTGCAGACCCTTCTGGGAGGCCGAGTTGGCACTAAGAGACCTTTCATATTCCCCCTTCAGAGCCGCCACTGTGTCCTCGAGACTGCTGATGTCCTGGGATTGGGCAGCCACCTTTAGGGAAAATAAACCAGCGACACGTTCAAATGCATGGCAATCATTGCTCTAACTATAGAAACTGTAATTATTCCTATTCACGGGGAGGGACAGAAGCAAGCCTGTGCTCAGCTGCGTACGTACCATCCGAGGTCCGTGTTAGCAGATGAAACCAAATGACAGCAAATGTTCAGACGCAACAAAATAAATGAGTTGAAAAAACAAAAGCAGCGGAATGAGGCGCAAACTCATTAAGTCAAAAAGAAGATGAAGCTACTTTGCCGATCTGAGCTCCAAACCGTACCTGCTGGTCCCCCTGCACCTTCTGAAGGTCTTTCAGGGCTCTCTCGGCTTTGGTCCTCTCGTCCAGTGCACTCATTGCCTGGGAAGGTTAATCAGAGCAGAGAGTTTACAGCGCAAACTGTCGCCTGAATGGTAAGAAAGGCCATGTTTAAAGATGTGTGGCTTGTTGAAATACCTGTGATTCTAAAGTCCGCATTCGGGTTTTCAGTTTATCATTTTCCTCCTGTAGTCTTGCTATCTCCTGGAAAAAAATGGATGTGAAGGAATGTATAAATATGACATCAACTTTTTTACAACAATGACTAGTGCTGTAATTCATGCAATGCATTTCTTCACCTTGTTAAGAAGCTCAGACACCCCCCCTTCGTTCAGAGGTGCTAGTTTGGGTTTGCTTGTTTCCTGGTTTTTCTGGGAACAGAGCAAACACTTTATAACTGAAACAATGACAGGACGGCTCTTATATCTTCAAACCGCCAGATTACCCGCGTGTAATAAATGATGGTAATAAGAACTGTTATACCCTTCGTGCTTCTCTTAGGATGACTAGTGTCTGCCGTTTGAGATTCACGGTGCAAATAGTCAAACCCATGAAAGAGCGGCGTGTAGCATTTCAAAGTTTGATTTGTTTTTCTTTAAAAGTGCATCTGGAAACCACACGTCAACCTCGGTGATGAGTGACTTCTTAACTGCGCGGCTACTCGCGATGGCCTGACATATAAAAGAACAAAAGTGCACGGCAGCACTGAAGTCCATGTGGGCGTGAAAATCCTTTGAACACATGATTAATGACTTTGATGACGGCACTTGCATGCGAAAGAGCAACAGAGGTTACTCTCACCTTGTTGGTGCTTTTAAAGTCAGTCTTCTCAAATTCAGCCACTTGTTCTAACAGCTCCCTTTATGGGTAGAAGAGCAAAGAATTAGACAACAAAACAATGAGGAAAATTACAGCAGAGGCTTAAAATATTTTACATTTGTATACATATATATATATATATATATATTTATATAAAATAACATATATAATATACAAAATAACATTTTGCGGGAAACAAAGAGCGGTTTGCACCTGAGCAGATTAAATGCAGAACTTGTTTATCTCCTCACTGTCAGCGAGCCACCACAATGTTTTTTAACACTACAAAAATGAAATACTCTTTGGCAGTTAAGTACTGTATCTCCGACAAGGAAAATACCCCCCCACCCACCCGTGTTTTAGATGACAGTTTAGCACTTTTGATACAATATATATGCTTGTGGTGAACAGAGCAGCTCCCTGGAAAGCCTTAATGTGGTTTTAAAAAAGCAGCTGAACACACGTAGAACTGTGAGATGGGGCGTATTCTTTTCTTTGTACGCAGTATCTGTCACGTAGGACTGAGACCTGAGAGAGAAAAAAACTCACACTTTTGGGTTTCTTTATCCACCCAACATGTGCGCATTATAAACAAAAAAAACTATGTTGCAAAACGCGTTCAGTGTTTTAACAAGGTGAAAGGGTTACAGAGGTCATAAGTCGCGTGAAGTTCGCCTGAATATCCCCATAGTACATTCACACCTGTGCCCATCCATGAGCATCACAATGATTATACCAGCCAATGGCATATTGGTGATTAGATTAGATGATGATGACAGAGAACACGGACCATCAAATGATTTTAACACATGGCTCTTCCACGCTCGCCGTGTCACGTTCGCTCTGTCACGCTCGCCCTGTCACGTTTGCCCTGTCACGTTTGCCCTGTCACGCTCGCTCGGTCACGCTCGCTCGGTCACGTTCGCTCTGTAACGGTCAAAAAACTATTTTCCTCCCCACAAACACCAACCCCTGTGGCAGGTAATCCTGCTGATTATATCGACCTTGCGGCCTAAATGAACGAAAGCTCCACACCCCCAAGGGGTGGGAGGTTAATAATCACAACAACAAAATGGCTCTTGCAAACAGGTCGACGTCCACTTTGGGTTTGACGTTGAAATGTTTCCATCAAAACAGCTGACATTATTTCATTTTGGATCAGATCGATCTAAACATTTAAACCCTGGTAATTTGTCCAACTACTTCACAGCCTCTACGTTCTAAAACCTGACAATATTCGTGACAAAAAAGCTATTACATCCTTTTTCAAAATGTGCTCAGTTCACAAAAAATATAAAAGACATTTATTTTCATTTACCTATAGGTGGAAAAACGTAAAGATAGAGATGGCCTTCCTTATTTAAAAAGTTTGAGGCTAAAACAAATATTTAATCTGAAAAATAACAGAACTCGTAAATTCTATAAACAATGTCTTGCCTGTTTTGGTAGAAGTCTCAAAGGATGATGTTTTTGTAATTTGGGAGATCTGTCATTAAAATGTATACGGAGAATGTGGCAATAGTTGTGCGAAAAGGAGTGTTACTGCGAAAAGGAAACCATGCAATGGAAAATAAAGGTTAAATTTACAGTGTCTATGTGGCTTGCCAATGACCTTTTTGCATGCCATACAGTACATACTGTAACATGCACGAGATCTAACCTAAACAGCCCTGGGAAGGAAGTGGAGGAGTTATTCTCATGAACATGAAGGGGAATCGTTCGTTCAGAGGCCTAGTGCACTTCTTACTTTACTGTGGCACTGTTTTGTTTGACCTATAAATCCTGCTATTTTGGGAACCTTTTTAGAGCGTCGTTTTTGTTTTGTGTGACAAGGTGTACATTTGTGCTGACTTAATCAAAAAATAAAGAAGAAACTTACTTTCAGGACCCAGAAGGCGCTGTATAACCCCTGGATATAAACGTGATGTACCGTTGCGGTACTAGACCAGGTCACTTTTTGTATAAACGATGAACAGTAAACCGTCATCGGCTTCCCTCCTCACTGCTCACCTGCTCTCCAGCTCGGATATGTCGCTCTGCAGTCGCAGGTAAAACTTCTCGGCCTGTGAGAAGAGCTGCCTGAGCAGCAGCACGTTGGTGTGAGCCGTGTTGATGAGCTCCGTCTCCACCTCCCCATGCACCACCGCCTGCAGCCCGTCCAGCATCTCCTTCACCTCGTCCACAGTGAAGGTTTCCTCCACCAGCCTTCAGAGAAACATACATGCATAAACATTACAGTTTCCATCTCACCAACCAGCACATTGACAACATGTTCCTCTTAAACATCTAAAGAATGATAACAAAAACTTAGGCATGATCAGTCACCTGCTGTCTTTGAGTTCTTCAAAGCATGAGTCAATGGTTTTAAGTCTCAGGACCATCTTTGAACGTGCGAATCGCATGTAATTGACGACTTCTTTCTGATGGTGTTCGTTAAACCCAAATTCAGCCTTAATGGAGACAAGAAAAGAGAAACAGGAAACGTTAAACTTGACAGATGGACAGGACGAGAAACGGAGAGGGGCTGTAATGGAAACTACGGCTAGCTTATCAGCTAACGTGGAGAGGATTTCCCCCTGCTAATGTGTATCGGCCTGTTCACATGGGTGTGTACGTACAAGGGTCTGTCTTTATGGATGACTGCTATCTGTCTTGTCTTGTATTTAACGATGCATAAAACCAAGATAGATGATGAGCATGCCAGCTTCTAAAAAGCAAACAGGTGACCTGACCTACCAAAAACAGCAAATGATCGCAGCTAACGTTACTTACCATGGCGGCTGTGCAGCTAACGTTCACGTTGCTAAGCTAGCTGGTGGGCAGAGATGATCCAACGGAGGGAACAGGGCTGTTTCAGTCTCTAATTTAGGCCCCGCAGAGAACAAACAGGAAGCTGGCGGTAATATGCGGGAGTCGACAGTGTTAGTCAATTTTGTGATTATGGTTGGATTCGGAGAAGAGGCTAAACGGAGATTATATCATAGCTACAAGATTATCTGGCAGATTGGCTAGCCTAGCTGTCTCGGCTAGTGTTTGCCTTGAGAATGCCTTGGTAACGGGGAATAGCGTCATTGCCTTGGTTACCAGAGGTGCGTTCAACGGCGCTACGTAAAACAAGGAACCAAAACGTGATCCGTTTGAAAGACTGCTAAAATACAAGACAATGCTACTGAAACACCGTTGTCGTTATAGCATACAAATCCATACAGATATTTATTGCTATCATGGGCTTTAATAGGTTGTATAGGACGCAACTCAATAGAATTAACATTCTCATTTGCACGTTGCACTTCGGTTTCGTTTCGGAATAAATAGCTACAATTATGAAAAGGGTATTTCTTGAAAAGATTAATTTAAATGTTTTGTCTGAGTATTATAGCCGCCGAGATAAAACAGTAAGTTTTATCGAGGTCATTCGTTGCTATGGGTTTTACAGGCTACAGGTACATTTGATTTTTATTTAAATGCACAACGTGTAGTCATTTCATTGCAGTCATGGCAAATGGGATTGTGTGTAACTGTATATTATTGGACACTAGGTGGCAGTGTTGAGTTAGAGGTGTAAAATATCCTGAGAAGATGTAAAGATGGGCCTCGGTTCCTCATTGGCAATCTACACAGGGAGAAAGTACACTCTTCATATGCTTGTTTTCCTGTGGCATCTTATGAATGAATCTATCTCAGCAACTGGCCGCAGTTTGATTTCATTGTTCATTCATTTCAAGTTGAAGCTACTGGTCAAAACAAGATGACATCTTTGACAGACACTGACTAGCATAATTGTGTGAGTCGCACATTTACAATACTAACAATTTGCATATTTGCAATACAATTACCCAGTTATAATACATATGCACATACATATAATTCAAACGTTTGACTGATTGACTTGACCTTCACTATTCATTGGGTTGAGGAAGTTCTTATGAAAAAAAAAAGTAGGGAACATTTTTTTTCCCCTCACGTCTCTTGCTGTAATTAAATTAGACTAACAGGCAGCACATGGTCAGTCACTTAATCAGATATCTAAAAATGTGACCATTGGTGCTTGCCCGCTCAAATTCACTGTGCAACATCAGTCAGCCAGAGACCAAGATGTTTCCCCTTTACCTTCAATCGCGGTGAGTGACTTACAATTCTGATTCCAGAATCCAGATTCTGGAGGGCTCAAGTAATATATTACCCTTCTTAGGTTTTGTTATAAACCCGTTTGTTGCTGCTGTTCTGCACTGGTCACTTAGACTTTGCTGGTAACTTTTATTATTTGAATAGCTCTTGTGGTAGAGACAAAATAATGGAATTGTTGATGTCATGTCTCCAGCTGGTCTATGAACAAATAGAAAACTTTATTTATTAAAGTTATTAGATTGTAGAATAATGTGTGCCATTGCAAAAGAGTAAAGGTATGCAAAGCAAACAATGAATGAGATGCATAACACATATATTAAACAATAAAGCAATACAAAAAAAAATACAATAAAACGTTGCCTGCATAAACATAAGCAGTTGACAGATGTATTGAGCTAAGTTGTTGTTGTTGTCCAGTAAGACGGATGTGACCGGAAAATATGATAACTGTTTGGGTTTTTTTACCATTGGGATGGAACAAATGTGTGCATGTACAGTACCTGTGTGTATATGTGTGTGTGTGTGTGGCCAGGTAATGTTTGTCCTGAACTCGATTTATAGTTATGCCCACTTGGTCTAAACTGCTATAACATCAGAGGCATTGCTGCATTGTTGAGACAGAGTCCCTAGAGGGCACTGCAATGCATCTTTTTACCAAGCCAGCTAGCAATGGAGGAATCCTGCAATAATAAAATATCAAACAATAACAAATTCATAATAATAAAAATAGCAATAATAATAGTCATCATAGTAAAAATTGATAACAATTGAGGCTGAATTACCCTATACGTGTCTTTACAGACTGTACCTTGACTAAAAGACTAAAAAAATTTAGCACTTAATTACTTATAATGCCTCTTATCTATAGCAAATTCTAAATTGGCTTATTTGATGAAGTTGCACTTTCTTGTTTTTTTCTCTTCTGAGTTTGTATCCCTATGATTGAATGCACTTACTTACTTAAGTCCATTCTAATAAAGTAACTATTAAAACATAACAATGGTTGACAAGTACAAAAATATATTTCGTGTAATCTGTATAGTTTTTAAACTGTCAAATGGAAACCTAAAGACGATTCTATATAATTGTCAGCATTAGCCGTTCCGAGGTCTGTTTTTAGTCGTCCGTAAATCTACAACACTGGTGAAAATCTGATCTCGGATCGGCTGCTCGACGATTCCGTGTTCCGGCAAACCAATCAGCTGACAGCCGCATGACAGGCAGACCTTGCGCGTGCGCAGTGCCACGCTTCTTGGTATGAGGAATATGGCAGCGTCCTGAGCCCTGTCGGGGGGGGGAATACGGCGTAACCGAGCACCTTCAGCATCAGAGTGGGAAAACAGCGAAGCTCCAACCGCACTCGGAGGAGGGTGGGGGGGGCTGAGGTACGGCTACGATTTATACCCGTTAGCGAGTTCACAGGTAAACGCGCCCGTTACCACCTGCCACTGCCTTCTCCGTGTTTGTTTGATTGAACCCCGCTGCTAACGCTACCAGCTAGCTAGCGCTTCTACGAAGACCCGACCGCTTTGCTATCTAAAGCCGCTAGCTTGTGGCTAACCCAACATTAGGCTGCCACAGCCCCCCCCCCCCCCCTCCATTTTTATATTGTTACGTTTGGCAAACACACGCTGATAACGTGTCCGTCCGTGTCTGTTATTCTTGGTTAGGAGGAGCGGCGGCGGGGTCCGCATCGCGTTAGCCGGGCTGTCGTGCTTGTTTTTAGCCTCCGTTGACCGCCTAGGCCCCTCGGCAGCGAAGCACAATTTGGCTAAGCGCTTTGCGAGCCAGGTAACGTTAATACCGCTTGTCGTGGATTTGACTTGACACGTCGAGACCCCGGCGTCCATCCTCGGGTGGATTTAACAATCAGCATGAGCTATGGCCGCGCGTTGCGTGTGCAACGTCAATTTGTGCATCCGTTGTCACGCAGGAAAAAGCGTGTAGGTTTTTTAAACATTTAAAAAATCTCATTAAGGAACCTTGTAAAAGGAGGGAGAGTCTGTGCCCGACCTTAAAGTGGCCGGAGAGATTGCGTGTTATGTAATTGGCAACTACAGAAGGGCCATTGCACCACGTCAGAAAATGCCTTTAGTGTGTTCCTGTGTATGGCCGAATTCTCTACAATATTTGATTTATTCAGAGGTGCCCTGTTTATAAGCATTTGCTTTTATTGTGTGGTCAGTTCAGTTAAGCTTTTTAACTCAATAGGCAGGAAATGTTTAGGGCCATATAATGATGCAATGGCAAATTATCTTTTGACCGGATGGTCATAAATAGGCAAAGCGAAAGTTCTGGTCACATCGTATCAAGTGTATACCTGATACAACCTGTGGCTGTAATGTAGTTAGTCGCCACCTCACCTGCAATGTGCTCAGTTTAATTTGTTCAAATAGGCCCCATTTAGAGTTTTTGCACAATCTTACTACTAAAGTAGTGGGACCTGTCTGGAGCAGGTTATTATGGAAATGTTGTGTGCTTTGGGCCTGCTTCCGTTTACATTTTCTCCACTGTTCTGCATTTTTTCTTTCTTGTTGACTCAACTCTGTCAAGGACGGGCCTTGGATTATTTCCTATTCATCTGCATACAAGTGGGAAGAGGTGGGAGGGCTCATCACATGACCCAGTCCTGGAATCTGCCATGGTTTTCTTTTTTTTGACAAGTCACCGCAGCGTCTCTCAACCCAGCGATGCCTTTAAAAAAAAAAAAAAAGTGCACATCCCCGGTGGCTGTAAAGATGACGCTGTGCACTGCTTGCTGCTAACATACCCTATTGTTCATTCCATCAACCCCCCGCCTGGGATTAGATTCATTATGCAGCGCAATGAATGACTGCTTGAAAAAAGTGTGGAAGCAAAACTTGGCTTCTCTAGCACAGGCATCAATAATTAATAAGTCGATTCTGGCAAAAAATTTTAAGGATCCTCGTCCAATGCTGTTGCCCCTGAAAGTAGCTGTCAATTTGTGTCCGGACCTCGCTGAACACCAGGCAACTGGCAACGATGGTTTTCCATCGTTTGAGGCCATTTTTCTGATCCCTGTTTCAGTCGCACTCTAAAACTGAGAGGAAGGAAAACAGGAGTGTGATTTTTTCCAGGATCCTGCCAGAGTGCTGACACAAGGTTCCCCTTGTCACAGTGCAGTCGCCAGCAGAATACTGCAGTCGGGATAGGAAGCTATACATCAAAACATATCAATCTTAACCACACTACGCATTCTTTGTCTCTTTGTTGGGTTTGTCTTAGTTGGAAAAGTAAACTATTTGTATTAAGTGACAAATTCAAGGATCCTACTTGAGCTATTGTCCAGGTTTAAGAGCATCTAGTAGTGGTCAAGACATGTCCTGACCCCTGTTTATCTAAAGCAATCGATGGGCCACTCTGGCTTTGCACCAGACTTTATTGACACATACTCGGCTGGTGCGCTGTTGTGTGTGTGTGTTTTTTGAGTGGCTGTGATATAAGACTGGAATGAAAGACCTTTACCTCCTCTCTGTTTTGCTGAGCAGGCTGTTTTCCAGTGGTTCCCTAGGCGTGCCTCACTTCAGTGAGCCAGTGGATGTGCACACGTGAAGGCGAGAGTGTGGCTGTCAAGAGGGAGCTTTCGTCAAAAGAATTAAGTCACGTGCTACCAGCCGTGTTGATGCGACGGCTCACAGCCGAGCCAACGATGCCGACGAAGAATCCGTTGGTCGTGCAGAGATGGGAATGATCGGTCGCCGGATAATCGCTGTTTACTCTGCGTTACTTCAGAAGCCGAGACAGTGTCTGATGGGAGTCCGTCCCTTCCAGCTGCCAAATGTTGAACCGTTGTGTGAAGTGTGTGCTGCGGTACATTGCAATGTGCGTTGCCTAAACTTGACGTAGTAATGGCCTGTGAAGGTGCCGGTTGTTTGCTAACTTCCTATAGAGCTGACCTTAACCAAGACATGGAGATCCTTTGGTTATCAATATAACATTTCTTCTAAAGCAATGTTCAACTGAAGGTCTTCCACCTAGTTATTATCTGAATGTAGCCGGGCTTAAGTGTTGATCCTAATCATAACATTTGTTCTGTTCTTCAGGTCCTGTGAAAAGATGAATGTCATCAAAGAAAACAAAGACATGGCATGTTTCTACACCACCAAACACTCCTGGAGGGGAAAGTAAGGCCCACAACCTTTTCTTTATCCCTTCACACCAACCACTGATCAGATGGCAGGGCCGCTTGCATTGGGCACTCTTTTTTATAGAGGTTTACAAAGCGATATTTGCCTGAACTCTTTCCTTTTGTCACCTTTTATAGACAGCTATGGGAAATCCTGACTCAGTACTTCCATTGTGTTGACTTCCTTATCATAGCGAGGTCAGGCCACATTCTTGTGGAATGTAACCCAAAGTCACAGATAACGGCAGTGAACAACAGTCTTTAGCAAGATTCATCAGATGCATCATGAGGAAGGACAACAATAATGTGCACTTATATGTTGGTGCAGTGGTTTTCACAAGATGCCTAATTTCCTGTGCGTTAACTTCCATTTAAAGCTTAAAGTTGATTTCCACTTTGCACAGATATATATATTCAGATCTTGTTTATTTTCATCACGGTTCACTCATGTGTGTACAGTCTGTGTCCGGTGAAGCTGTCGTCATATTGACCTCATGTGGACACGTAGTGATGGATAAATTAAAAGAGTAAAATGCAGGAAAATTAGACTCGCTGTGAACACAGATGGACAAGTGTCCTCGACCGTCTCCTGCAAAGCGCGTCTGTTTTCATGTTATCGATCGATAGCTCAGGCTAAAGCATGGACAAGTCTGAGCAGAGAGCCAGTGGGATCACATTACCGATACCTGCTTTCTAAATGTCTCGGTGCCATTAAGGCCTGCCATTGACTCTGGTAACTTAAGCAGGGCTGCGGAGCATTAGCCTTCATCAGAGCTTCATCCCGCTAATGCTTCCTGAAGTGTCCGTTGGAGGCGGATGTACGTGTCGTGGACAGTCAAGTCGCCACATGTCAACTGACCTGAATCCAGCCCCGAGGTCAAAAAACGTCTTTAACATTATAAACGTCTTTATAATGTCGTGCTGGGATTGTTCAGTGAAGGTTAAACTACGAGTGCAGACATAAGTGTACGAATGCTGACAACCAGGGTTTCAAATTTTGACCGCAGGCTCGTATGAATGCGTCCGAAGCGATTCAGTAATCCTGCGTTGTCTGTCTGCTGAATGAAAAGGGAAAGACAGAGCTTGAATGAGCGAATAGAAAGAGAAAGCGTCATGTTGGGATATCCTCTTTCAACTCGCTTCGCACCATCCTCCGATATTGTGGGCGTTGCAGATAAAATGTCAAATGCCTTTTTAAGTCATACTGTCCACCTACTGAATAATATATGCAAAACTTCAATACTTCCTTCCTATAAAACAGTGAAGTAGAAGTAGAAGTGGGCTTAATGCACAGACCATGTTCAGCCAATACTATTCATTAGACAGCGCATTTTGGGGACAGAGTGTTAAATGACATTTCCTATGACTACCTCATGTACAAGTGAACTTAGCCACTTAAATGCTTTTAAATTGAAGCTGCAGAAGGAAATTTTATCAATTGAGCATTTTATTCAAGAAATGTCGGCACAGACGCTGAGTCAATAATGCTGCAGTATCGTAATACGATCATCTGTGGGACTCAATCACCATTATGATACCTCATTCAGCGACACAAATCGTGGTCATTTATTAAAAAATCAAATTGTGACCATGTTAAAGAGTATTCAGCGTCACTTCTCGAGAGGCTCACCTTGAGTGGAGGATGTCTTACTCTGGATGCTTTGTGTCAAGTGCAAATTTTAAAAAGATCCAGTTTGACTAAAACTGCATGTAGAAAATTGAGGTGTCTGCTTGTGATCGTGATTTCAAATAATGAATAATGATTGCACGACGGATTGGTCAGCAGACGGGGAGAGTATTGTTCCTCTGTTCTGCGGGTAGTTAAAGAGGAATTAAAAAAATCTGTGATTATACGATGTTGCTTTGTAGTCTGTTGCTGTCTGAAACCAATGTTTCTTAGTTGATTGCGATTATTTCTGACAGTTTTGAAGATCACTTCAGCTGCTCGTTCCTCAGACTTAAAATGACGGCAGCTCTTAACTGTTTTGCTTCAGTGCAGCAGCTCTTCTGAGCTCATGATCGTGGTTAATTCAAGTCTTGTGACTCCAGCTTGTAGTGTTCGATTTGTCTCCCTATAAAGGACAATTTCACAATTTTTAACACATTGTTTGCTTCAGTGTGTTTTGTCGTTTCTGGGTTTTCAGGCAGCACTTTTTGCAAATATGCAATCTTGTTTGAATTCCTTAAATTTTCCAATTTTTCCAACATTAGCCGTTTTACAAACCACTACATAGGATGTACTGTAACTATATATTGTTTATTTACTTTCATAGTGTCTTTTTTGTTGTTTCCAACATTGTTTAGGGTGTTTTTCACACTTCGCTCACCCTCCAGAACACTCTAGCTCTCTGAGATCCGGTGTTTGTAGAAGACAGCCGAGTATCCTGTGTGGTTTGAGCTTTTCATGTGGTCAAACGAATCTCCAGCTAAGTCTTCTTCTTTGGGCAGTTTTCTTTAGAGGAGCAGCAGTTGTTAGTCAGACACAGGAAGTTGCTTAATGTGATACATTTTGAAATCCCTTCGTGTGGAAAAAAAACACAACTGAATATGACAACATCTCTGTGGATTAAACTGGACCAAAAATGACCATTTTTATGTACTCTGTGAATGTGGATGTTTTCCTGCTATCATGTTGGTTTCAAAATCAACATTAACATTACGATTGTGGGTTATTTGCGTCGATCAAACCACATGATTATAAGCAGACACGGTGCTGCCAAACATACCGCGCTTCAAAGTCTGCTTGATTTTCATATCATTTGTATGAAATCTGAACCACCGCAGCACGAGTTGTAAAATGCTGAGCAGTAATGTCAGCTGTTAGTGATTTGTTGTAGCTAAAGCATAAAGGACCTGCGGTGAATTTATTTAAATTGGTCTGTCTACATGTTATAATTAATGTACTAATTCACTTTCATTTAAATTTAATTCCACAGATAATTAATAATGAACTGAATTTGTGCCGACCCAAAGTTAAACCAGCCACTTGGCACCAGATATTGGAAAATGGGGAAAAGGCAAACCTCATTGTTTTGCACAGATGGCTTGGACACAACACGTATATTTGAAGAGGCTTTCTAATGGCAGCAATAAAGGATGTGGCATTTGTATAATTATGAAACAGGAATAACTGACTGGGATGTGCTTGTACCTGATATTCCACGGAGGCCTCGGGCCCCTGCCTGACCAGTCTATTTACGTTTAGTCACACAGTCAAGTCTGAATGCATTATGCAGAAGTAAGCTCTCAATTTTACTTCTGTTTTAATACCGTTACTTACTGTTTTAGGATGGGACTGGTTTGTAACTTCCGACCTCTTAATGTTGTGCAGGCCCCTAGAGGATGTGCTAGAGAGAGAAAGGCGCCTAGTCAGCACGTTCAGTGCGCAGCCTGATACGGCCACAAGAACGCATTGTACGTTGATGAACGTGCGTCTTCACCAGATGCAAATAAACCGCTAGATTCAATGTTCCCAAAATCTAGAAACTTCACTAAACTTTTATTTACACAACCAAAACCCGTAAAGGATCCATGTTCAAGATCAGACGACAGGCTGAATAGTATATATTGGGCAAAAATGTGTTTGCAAACCACACGGCAATCAAGCGCACACACAGACATGCCTGCCTCAGAACACACACACACACACTCTCTCACACTCGGCGTAACAGAAACGTTGGCAAAATTGAGTTTCACACTTCCTTCCTACTGTGTGAGCGAGCCCCTCTCACAGCCGTTGCGATGAACAAGTGTGTGTGTGTGTGTGGTTGTCAGAATTAAAGAGTGAGTCATTAACAAACCGCTAACGCACAATGAGTCCCCCACACACACACACACACAGTGGTGGATTCATGCAAAGAAGTAACCTCCTCGGTATCAGTATCACATTTCGGTAGTTCATGGTGAGGATTAAGGCTGCGTGTGCATGAGGTTTAGTTCAGCTGATCCTATCGCAGCTTTGAAAGTGACAGTTACTGATCATTATCATAATCTATTGTATCAACCATTCCCTCAAAAGTGTCTATAACCTGGGTTAATACACCTGTAATAAGGACGATATTGTTCATCAACTGGGTCCCTAGTGATGTCACCTGTTCCGATGGCCGCACATTCAGCCTGTTCCCCGACCTTCACAGCTCATGACGTGTGACCGCCTGCGCTGTCGTGGGTGTTTCTGCCGTGTGTGCGCCACGATTGTGACTCACCCCCTCCCCATCTCTTCTGTTCCAGGTACAAGCGAGTCTTCTCGGTGGGGACGCATGGCATCACCACTTACAACCCGACCACGCTGGAAGTAACGAATCAGGTCAGTGTCGCTCAGGAGCCTCCTGGTCGCAGCAGCTATCGGCGCCTCAAGGGCGCTTTGTTACGTGTGACCATTTAAAGTCCATCTGATTCACATTGCTCTTTCTGCTAAAAGATGAAACGTCTTGTGCATCTCTAAGAAACACACGGTACCGCCGAGTCCTGCGGTGTGTAGAAAAAATAACATTAACACTGTTTCAAATCCTTATGTTTATCTTTTATTGCATTCATGCATAAATATTTGATGAATAAATCTTATTCCGTGATCAAACGGCTTGCGTGGGACTCTTAACGATGTGTTTCTCCCTCTCTGCTGTCACTTTCCTCTGTACCAGTGGCCTTATGGGGACATCTGCGGCATCGGCCCAGTAGGAAAAGGTCAGGGAACCGAGTTCAACCTCACATTCCGCAAAGGCAGCGGCAAGAAGTCCGAGACACTCAAGTTCTCCACCGAGCACCGGACCGAGCTGCTCACGGAAGCTCTGGTGAGAACAAACTCGCCACTTCGTATTCATCATTCCGAGCGGTCCGCTGGCGTCACAGCTGCACATTTTGCTCTGTTGTCTTTTTAAGAAAATCGCAGCAAAGTCTCTTTATGTCCGATTGCGCTGTTTCAGAATGCAGCGTGAGCAAACGTCAGCCCTTTGACTCCCAATAGGTGTTTATCACAAACATGAATCAGCAGAGAGATTTGTTGACGTGAAGAAATAGATAGATTGTGCTGAGGAGAATGAGAAGGTGTATTTTCCCCCCCAGAACTCATTAAAGACCACACTTTGTGTCAAACAGGACTATTTAAGAGCTAGCTGTGTACGTAAACTCTTAAATGTAATGCTAAAATGTAATGTAATGTTTATTCTTCTTATTCACAGAGATATAGAACAGAGTTTTCAGAGGGTAAAATAACTGGCAGGGTAAGTACTGAGATCTATAAAGAAGAAAATGATTTATTTAAGTAAATGTTTGCCAGCGTGGTGACACCAACGTCTTTCCCCACGTTTGCACGCAGCGTTACAACTGCTACAAGCACCACTGGAGTGACACGCGCAAGCCGGTGAGTTTAGAGGTGACCCCGGGCGGCATCGACCAGATCGACCCGCACACCAATCGTGTCGTGTGTTCCTACGACTACCGAAACGTGGAGGGATTCGTCGAGGTCTCTGATTACCAGGGAGGATTCTGCATCCTTTCAGGGGGCTTCGGCAGGCTGGTACGCGCTCATAGAGTAACTGTGCATCTTTATTGCCAAGACAACAGTATGTGTAAATGTGTGATTATAACATTTCCTTTCCCCCTTTGCCTTTTTTCTTCTTTTCTCCCAGCACCTGTTTGCCTCGGAGCACCGGGATGACATCATCCGTAGCGCCATAGAGCACGCTGGGAACTATATCGGTATCACGCTGCGGCTGAGGAAGGAGGCGTTGACCTTTGAGGATTTTGTGACGGACCGGCTGGGGAAGTACAGCTCGGACGAGAGCATCACTTCACTGGCTGAGTTCGTGGTGCAGAAGATCACCCCTCGACACGCGGTGAGAGTGGCTTCTCCTTGTTCCTCGCATTATTTGCGGTCGCTGTCTTTTTTTTTTTATGTCTCTCTTGAAGTACATTATGTATTTAATAAGATATGGCCAAACTTTATTCATCCAGAGGGAACTTTTAGTTCAGCAGTAGCGGTATAAGGGACTGGTAGGAGTGGAAGTGTAGACTGAGTAATGACTCACCTCTCTCCGTCCTCAGGAGCCTGTCAAGCGCATTCTGGCCCTGACAGAGACTTGTCTAGTGGAGAGAGACCCTGCTTCATACAACATAGTCACCATCAAACCCTTCGGAGAGGTGAGCACACAAGTCATCAACAACTGTCTTGTCCGAACAGTCCGAAATGTTGGGTTGTACTCCTCTCCTCTGAAGACAGATGGATGCTACTTGAACTGTCTGTCTTTGTTTCGTTGGGTATGAACTTCATCACTGCAAGTAAACCGCTTTAGTCTTTTGAATAAACGTTTCCCTCCCATCCTCATTTTTTTATCTCTCTTCCCCGCTCTTGTCCCCTTGTGTCGTCCCCCTTCAGGTATTCGCCCTCATCTGTGACGTAGACAACCCTCAGGTGTTTACAGTTGAATTCATCCGAGGTCAAATCAGAAAGTTTTCCTCCACAGAAAGGTAGACACACTACAGGCCCTGTGGGTTTATTAAATGTTCTCATTGGCCTTTTTTTCCTGTAGTCACCTCATTTACATGATGAGTAATGTGCTCGTGTGCACCAGTCTGCTGCACAGCCTTCACACTCTCTTGTTACCGTGTTCCTGCTGTTGGTTTGTGCTGCGTTTAAGCCGAGTCTGTTGCTGTGTGCGTTTGTAGGGACTCCCTGTTGGCCAGCCTGCTCGATGGCGTCCGGGCATCAGGCAACAGGGACGTGTGCGTCAAAATGGCCCCCACACAGCGAGGGCAGAGATGGGGCCTACTGAGCATGCCCGTGGACGAGGAGGTGGAGAGTTTGCACCTCAAATTCCTGGCAGCACCTCCTAGTGAGTTTCAGCCTGAGACTAAAGGCGTTGTTGTTGTTCTTGATACCTGGATGTTGCCTTGTTTAATTCTTCCATCCCTGCTTCCTTTGCTCAGATGGAAACTTTGCAGACGCGGTGTTCAGATTCAACGCGAACATCTCCTACAGCGGCGTGCTGCACGCTGTAACCCAAGACGTGAGTGCGTTCAATCCAAGTTATTTATGTCCATCGACCAGAGCAGAATTCCCACTAATTTCCCTCCCCTGTCTCTCTCTGTTCTCCTCAGGGCCTCTTCTCTGAGAACAAAGAGAAGCTCATCAACAATGCCATCCTGGCTCTTCTGTCCCAGGAGCTCGAGCTGCCGGCCCTGAACGCCGAGCTGGAGAGCCATTTCCAGGCCATCCGACGCTTGGTGGCCTCCAAGGCCGGCTTCCAAGCCTTTACCCAGCTGCCGAAGTAAGAATGCACCAGTAGTGCCATTGTATCCTCCTACTTTTGTTTCTTTCAAGTGTACTTTCTATTGAGCTGCTGGTAACAGGCATGCTCTGTCATTCCAAGGTCTGGTCAAGGGTCTGGAGTCACAGATGCAACGTAAATATGAATCCATACATCTCAGTCTGCCCTTTTGCCCGTCTCGCTATGTCTTATCCTTCTTGCGCTCTTCCAAAGTCTGTCTTTGCTGTCAGTCCATCGACCTTCTCCTCTTTTATCTTTGTTCTGCTTTAATCGCAGGCTTTTAGACGGACACTTCAGAAGCGAGGTTATGTCACTTCTTTGTGTTCGGTCGAGCTGTCTGCCTCGATTCGTCTTGACCTTCCTCTCTCGAACATCTCATACTCTTTATTTTTTTTATTGCCTTTGTCTCTCTCCCCCGCTATCTGCTTTGCTCATCCTACCCTTTATATTTCTGCCCATTACAATATTTAAGAACGCCACAGACTTTTCGGGTCACTGAGATGTATGAGAGGAACTGTATTTACTGTTTATTGGTTGTTCTTGCAATGAGAATTGGTTTTCCTGTAGGATTCATTGCCAGAGTAGCCTGGTGTTTCCCTCACACAACCGTAAGACACGGATCACTATAAACACATCAATGGTTTATTTCCGTCCTTAAGGGAAATCCCTTTTTATATCGTGGTTCAGTTCAGGAGAAGATGTGACATCCTTTGAGCAAAAGAAACAACAAGCCACTTCTGAAGCAATGAATTCTTTGTGTATCCAACCCCAGACCTCTTTTAAATAACACTTTGTTTGTATTGTTTATATTATGTTGTGTTTTTTGTGGTTTATGATCATCGTTGTTTTCAAGGCACGGTGGTTTGGTGGTGTTGGTAAATCTGTGAATGTTTGTGTGTTCCAGGTTCAGGGAGAAGTTAGGCGTGAAGACAGTCAAAGCTTTAAAAAGGAACAACAACAGTGTGACACATGCCGCTGTGGACATGCTCTGTGCTCTTATGTGTGTAAGTACCCCCTAAATATCTGCCTTATCATCTATATGCACAAACCTACAAACCATTTATCAGGGAGTTCTTCTACGTTGAGATGAGATTTTCTTTTTGCGCTTCTTTGCAGCCGATGCACGATGATTATGACCTGCGGCAGGAGCAGCTGAACAAAGCCTCTCTGCTGTCCTCCAAGAAGTTCCTGGAGAACCTCCTTGAAAAATTCATCACTAATGTGGTACAGTTCTTTTTACTGTCAGAAATCTGGGTGCAGGGTTTGTAAACATCAGAAGGACCAAAGTTGTTTAGTTTAATCAACATCCTCATTTTTTTTTCAGGACCACGGAACAGGAGCTCTGGTCATCAGCTCCTTACTGGACTTCTTGACGTTTGCACTCTGCGCCCCCTACAGTGAAACCACCGAGGGGCAACAGTTTGACATGCTGCTGGAGATGGTTGCCTGTGATGGGCGCACCTTGTTCAAACTCTTCCAGGTAGTGGAGTCATGTGAAATGAACCTTTACTGCCTAATTACAATTACATCATGTACATTCAGTACCTGCCTGTGTGTTCAATTATGTTGTCGCCATCTTTAGCATCCCTCAATGGCGATAGTGAAGGGGGCAGGCTTGGTGATGAAGGCCATCATTGAGGTAAGCTCTCTGCGGGTTAGGCTGGTTACAGTGTAAAGAATGCAATTATTCCAGGAATGTCTTTCTGCTTAATGCAGATTACAAATCTGTGTTTTGACTCTTTTGTTTTTTTTAATTGTAGGAAGGAGACAAGGAAATAGCCACCAAGATGCAGGACCTGGCCTTGAGTGAAGGGGCTCTTCCGCGGCATCTGCATACTTCTCTGTTCACGATCAGCGCTGACCAGCGGATGCTTACCAACAGGTCCAACCGCAATAAGCCCACACACACAAACACACACACACACACAATGCTTTGGATTTGTTGATTGCAGCAGCAGCTAGTTAATGCTTAAGTAAGGAAAACACTCACTGTCTGTCATGGTAGACGGCTTAAGTTTCTACAGGGGATGAACAAGAATATGTGTTCTCTAACAAACAACTCACAAAATGTCTCAGGCAGCTGAGTCGTCACCTGGTGGGACTCTGGACGGCGGAAAACCCGGTTGCCATGAACCTTCTGAAAAGGATACTGGTAGGTCTAGAAATCAGCCCATTTCTGACTTTGGTCAATGGTGCTCTCTGGCAGCGGAGCCGCCCTGTTTTAATGGGTTGAGACATTTTATGAGACATTTTATGTCTCACCCCATTTCGTTATGTCTCGTCCGCTCTCAGCCAACAGGCCTGCTGGCTTACCTGGACAGCCCCGATCCAGTCCCTGAGAAAGATATGGATCGAATGCACATCCGCGACAACTTGAAACTTGCCCAGGTATCTGCAGAGGCGCTCGCGCCACATCTGTATTTTTTTGCAAAGTGCACAAATGGCTCGATAAGAAAGTAGATCGGAATCGGAGAAAGAAAGAATCAGCCGTCAGCAGTTGTTTTATATTTTGTTTCCCACAGGACCAGCTAAATCGAACCAAGGTGCCCGAATGGCAGCGGATAGCCGGCAAAGCAGCCAAAGAGGTGGAGAAGTTTGCCAAGGAGAAGACCGATATCGTGTTGATGCACTGGAGGGATAAAATGGGCATAGCCCAGAAGGAGGTGAGGATATATTTATCTTGTAAAGATACTGAGGGCCCGATTGCCCTGTTGTCTATCACACAAGCTGCTGCTGCTGCTGCTGCTGTCTGCTCTGGTGTCTCTAACTATCGCATCCCGCTGCTGATGCTGCAGCCTGCGAGGAAAACTCAGTAACACACTTTTTCAGCTGCTGCTGTTTATTTTGCATGCAGGGCGGCGTGAGCTCTGACGCTGCCTAGCTTCGGGTAAACGCTAGATGTCAAGCTACAATTACGTATGTTTTTTTTTTTTGGTGCCTTGCATATCGGCCGTTCCGCTTGTGTGCATATATGTATTTTCCATTACAGGCTTGTTTGAATGTGACCTTGATATTTTAATTCAACGTACACTTCCTTTTAATAGAACAGCTCTCTAATTGCACATGGTCAATGTGAGGGGCTTCAAGGTGAATTGGTGTGTCAGTCTGATGCAGAGTGTGCCGGCCGGGTTGAGTTTCAGTGTCTGACTTTCCTGTCTGCTCTTTGATGTTTCTGCAAAGCTGAAGTCAAATATACTCAAATAATGCTAAAGCCTCTGAATCCTCTTTACCTGAAAATAACCCCACTTCCTTTCCTTTTCCTCACTTTTGTTTTGAACGTCTCAAAAAAGCTGATCAACAACATATTTTAATTGGCTTGCTTTCACTGGACATTCCCTAATGTTCTCTTACAGCACATGCTCTGTATATTTGTTGATAGCATCAAGTAAATCCATAATTTTAACAGTCCGCTAATAAATGATGACCGAGTCAGTCTTAGTATGATACATTCTGGTGACCTTAGACCCTTTGTTTCGTTGAATCTGTTTGAGGAACAATAACCTCTCTGTGTTGTCTGCCCCACCCTCCCCTTGTCTTATGTGGTTTCTCTGCTGTCAAACAATGCAGCAGGACAGAAATAACCTGGTAAGTAGGACTGACCAATGGGATCCATGCTGTTTTCTTTCCATTTCTTTTCTCTCCACAAAACTATTTTTTTCAATCTTCATGTGACATATTGGGTGTGTTTATTTGAATTCAGCCGGGCGATGAACTGTTCTCTTCTTACGAGTGATAGGTGTCAAATAGATGCAGGAAAAGAAGAATCAATAATACATTGTACATATATATATATATTAGACAATAAATGTGCAGATTAGAACATGTTTGCTTGTCCTGCTGTCAATAGAGGACATGTTCAGGGTACCTGTTGTGTAATCTGTAAATAATGAACGCTTTTAGTGAGACATGAGTCCAATGAACATAAAGGGAAGGACCTCTGCCGTACTCCCTGTTTAGCCTGTTGAACGTTTCACTCACACCCTCTTTTTAAAGCATGACATTTACTTGATTTCTTTGTAGAAACAAAAAGACGCTTCAGTAGCAATATTCTCTTGACACACTACTATGACCTCTCTCGCCCAGAAAGAATTATTTAACACATCCAATTTTGGGATCCCACTTTGGTGTCTGTGTTTCATAACAAAGTTTTCCATGTTCGTTTTATGATATTTGTTTTTTGTCCTAAATGTTGGGCTTTTGGTGTTAACCATTTGTGTTCCCCCTCTCTCCATAATGGTGCCATTTATTTCATTTCTGGTCGTCTTATCCTTATAATAATGTTCTTGTTGCCATTTTAACTACAACTCTCTTCATGTCATAAGCTCTATAAGAACTTTTTTTTTTTTAAATAATAATGGTTGACTTGAAGCAACTCCTCTAAGCTGTAAATATTTCCCTTGATTTTAGAATCCGAATCAAAAGCCTGTCATCCTACGGAAGAGACGGCAGAGAATAAAGATTGAAGTCAACTGGGAACTTTTCTACTACAGGTATGTCATGGCTGATCTCTGTTGACTCCATTACATCATCCTGATTTCACTTATATTGGGAGTGAGGGTCGAGCCCAGGTTGTTTAGGGGTTTGGCTCTGTGTGCTACTTGCATTAGCTGGTGCATTTCTTACATTTGTGAAATAGTAGGAACGACATGTGTCATGCAACAGGCTGTTAAACCATATATTTTTTGAACAACCCTAACTTGCTTTGGTCTTCTCAAGATTCCAGCTGGACCACGCACGGTCCAACCTCATCTGGAACCTGAGGACGAGGGAGGAGCTGCGAGACGCTCTGGAGGGGGAGATGCGCGCCTTCAGCGTCGACCGCGAGCTCGGCAGTGCCACCGTCATCTCCTGGAACCACCAAGAGTTTGAGGTTTGTGCTCAGCTGGACTATTTAACACTTTAGCCAATACTAATATATTGTAAACTTGAGTTACTTCTAAAGCATATACATATACTGTAAGCAACGATTCTGTTCCTGTTCGCAGGTGAAATATGAGTGCCTTTCCGATGAGATAAAGATTGGGGATTATTACCTGCGTCTGCTGCTTGAGGAAGATGAAAATGACGAATCGAATGCCATCAAGAGATCGTAAGACTACAAAACGTTAAGCCAACCAGCAGCGCTAACATGAAGCTTTAGTGAATCAGAAACAATGAATCCCGCTTCCCTCTCTCTCTGCTCTTAGATATGAGTTCTTCAATGAACTCTACCATCGCTTTCTGCTTACACCCAAAGTCTCGATGAAGTGCCTGTGCCTGCAGGCGCTCGCTATAGTCTACGGGAAGTGCTACGAGGAGATTGGCCCCTTCACAGACACAAAATACATCGTGGGCATGCTGGACCGAGTGAGTACAAGCTCTTACTGCAGGATCTCATGTTGACATGGCTTTTGATTCATCCTAAATACTCGTTATGTTGTTACAGTGTACAGACAAACTAGAAAGAGACAGACTCATCATCTTTCTCAACAAACTCATTCTGAACAAGGTAAGATTATCAGCAGTGCCTCTAAATTGAAACAATGTTTCTTCAGTGATGATTCATTTTTGTTTTTTTAGAAAAATGTGAAGGATGTGATGGACTCGAATGGAGTCCGTATATTGGTGGATCTGCTCACTATGGCTCATCTGCACACCAACAGAGCTACTGTGCCCCTGCAGGTAAAGACATGGCTATTTGTTATAAATCGTGAAAATAATTGCTCTATTGATTTGATCTAATATCATATAACACTAGATGTTGCAGCCTTTATGAGATAGCCATTGATGACATTTAATCAGATGCCGACCCTGGTGTGAAAATCCTAATGAATCTGTCGGGAGTGTCAAACAGGGTCTCATTTATTTCCACAGAGCAACGTGCTGGAGGCCTCCCCAGACATGAAGAGGGAGAGCGAGAAAGAGTGGTACTTTGGTAACGCAGACAAAGAAAGAAGAGGACCTTTCAGTTATGAGGAGGTACATGATCTTAAAATGTCAAGCACAGGCTGAGAATGCACAACAGGGCATCGAGGAATGTGATCAGTGTCAGTGGAAATGGCTACAGGGGAAACTAACCAGCTTATATCAATGTAAAATCAGCTTATCGAATGTATGAAATCGAGAATAAGAATTATCTTGTAATGTAATATACTGCTGAATCTAATAACTGCTTTTACTGAGATAAATTGCACAGGTTAACGTCATCTGATGTTATCTAGACTATGCAGCTTAAGAGATTGTATCACTTTCCCACTTGTTGTTCTATCGGCCTCCTTCCGTCGGTTGCAGCATTACCTGAGTGTTACGTTTTTGCCTTTCCCTCTCCAGATGCAGGAATTTTGGAGCACAGGTGTCCTGACTGCAAAGACACGCTGCTGGGCTCAGGGGATGGATGGCTGGCGCCCCCTGCAGGCCATTCCCCAGCTAAAATGGTGCCTCCTGGCCACTGGACAGGCAGTGATGAACGAGTCCGACCTGGCTACACTAATCCTTAACATGCTCATCACCATGTGCTCCTATTACCCCAGCAGGTGGGCAGAGCAGAAAATACCTCCCGCCTCCACGATGCCATGATATTATTCAGTAAAGTGTGTGTGATCTGTGGACAATCTACTTTTTATTCAGGGACCAAGACAATGCCATTATCCGTCCTTTACCTAAAATCAAGAGGATGATCAGCGACAATGCTTGCCTCCCTCACATTGTCCAGGTAAATACACAATTCTTTTTTTTGTCGACACCATGGTTGTCACATGCACTTTGGTGAATTGCCGAGTTAGACAACATGTTGATCACCTTTCCGTTTCTATTTTTTCCTCCAGCTGCTGCTGACCTTTGACCCCATACTGGTGGAAAAGGTGGCTAACGTTCTGTATCTGGTGATGCAGGACAATCCTAATTTGCAGCGCCTCTATTTAACTGGGATCTTCTTCTTCATTATGATGTACACAGGCTCCAACGTGCTTCCTGTAGCAAGGTGAAAACACACACAAGCCTTTTTTTGGAAACATGATATAGTTATCCTCAGAGGAGAACTTGGGTTTCAAGTAGAGGGAAAAACAAGTACCTTGAAATATCTATATTGACCTGGAAGACATTCCTGTGGTTTTTTTTAAAGGTTCCTGAAGTACACACATCTGAAACAAGCCTTCAAATCAGAGGAGGTAAATTTTTTTTACTTAAAAATTAACACATCGTATACTATGATCCTAAACTCCTTTTTTGATATTAACGCCCGTCTGTTGTGGCTTCTCCCCAGTCTAAAGGTCAGGACATAGTGCAGCGTAGTGTTCTGGGACCGGTGCTGCCTGAAGCCATGGTGTGTTATCTGGAGAACTACGAGGCTGAGCGCTTCTCGGAAATATTCCTCGGAGAATTTGACACGCCGGAGGCCATTTGGAGCAGCGAGATGAGGTAGGCGTTAGTCACCGTCACGTCCTTACGGAGATATTTAGAACAGCAGCATGTGGTCTGTAGAAACTTAAATAGATTGTGTTTGAATCCTCCGTTTCAGGCGGATGATGATCGAGAAGATTGCCGCCCACATCGCTGACTTCAGCCCCAGGCTGCAGAGCAACACGCGGGCCCTCTACCAGTACTGCCCCATCCCCGTGGTCAGCTTCCCTCAGCTGGACAACGAGCTCTTCTGCAACATCTACTACCTCAGACATCTATGTGACACCATCCGCTTCCCCAACTGGCCCATTCGAGACGCTGTATGACTCTTTTCGTTTGTCTCTGTATACCCAAGCTGTTACTTCCTTCCTTCCTTCTTGCTTCTAATACAAGCGCCTTTGAAATTGTGATCCACCTCCATTATTCCTGCAGGTGAAGCTGCTAAAAGACACCCTTGAAGCCTGGAAGAGGGAGGTGGAGAAAAAGCCTCCCTCCATGTCCGTAGATGATGCATACGAAGTCCTCAACCTCCCCAAAGGACAGGGGCAGTGAGTGGCCTTTCTATCGCTTCATTTTGTTCCTAAATACACATGAGGGCAATTTGTGTGGATGTTGTAGTTGGATAATGTGGATTCAGACAGAAGAACTGAATACATTATGGGATCTATGTCTTCAGGCACGAGGAGAGTAAAATCAGGAAAGCTTACTTCAGACTGGCGCAAAAGTACCATCCAGACAAGAACCCAGAGGGCAGGGTATGTTACATCATTACTGATACATGTATGTAAGGGCTTGCATTTCATATATTCATGGACCGATTTAATTTCTACATGTATTTCTCAGGACATGTTCGAGAAAGTCAATAAAGCCTACGAGTTCCTTTGTACAAAGTCTGCCCGAATCCTGGACGGCCCGGATCCAGAGAACATCATCCTCATCCTCAAAGCACAGAGCATCCTGTTCAACCGACACAAAGAAGGTACGGAGGACGTTGACCGTCTTTCCTTTTTGTTGTTGTTCCTTATACCTAAACTTTATGGCAGAAGTTAGTTCAGGCACATTTCTTCTGAGTGAATTTGAATAAAAATGAGTTATTAGCTATTGTCCGTGTGTGTGTGTGTACAGAATTAACACTATAATAACCTTCAACTAATGCTGCTATTCCTCCTCCTCTTTGTCTGCAACAGAACTGGGACCGTACAAATATGCGGGGTACCCAATGCTCATCAAGACCATCACAATGGAAACCGAGGATGAGCTCCTCTTCTCCAAAACCTCCCCTCTCCTCCCTGCTGCCGCTGAGCTCGCCTTCCACACCGTCAACTGCTCGGCTCTCAATGCAGAGGAGCTGCGCCGCGACAACGGCATCGAGGTGCGAGCGACCTCCCGAAATCCTCTGACATCAAGCAGTCCTCGTGAAACCGCTGTCCGTCTACTATGTGGGCTTGTGCACTGTGCTTTGACTGCATAAGTGACGGTTTCCTGTATTTTATCAGGTGCTGCTGGAGGCTCTTTCTCGGTGTGTTGCTGTTTTAACTGCATCCAGCAAACCTGATGACATGGCTGTGCAGGTAAAATACGTCTTTATTGACCTGCAGAGAGAGGAATGCCGTTTTAAAACTTTTTCTAAAGCACTTCCTTTTTTCTTTTTTTTTCTCAATACATGAAAGGTGTGCGGGCACGTCTGTAAGTGCTACAGTGTAGCAGCCCAGTTTGAGGAATGCAGGGAAAAGATCATCGAACTTCCCAGCATCATCAGAGACCTTTGTCACATCTTGTTCTACGGAAAGGTGAGAAACAACCATGTTTGTTTTAATCTTGTTTTCTGTCTAAAATACAACAATTTTCCATCCTCACTGTGATTATTTGTGAGAAAAAAAATACGCTGCGTTGAAAAATATATATAATTTTCTTTTGGTGTGTATGTGTATATTATATGTATGGAATGAATTACAAACTGAAGAGATTCTTTGAGACGGTCACTCTTTTGGTCCCAATATCTATTTCTTATTTTAGTATTTAAATGCGACAGACCGACAGCTTCCTTTTTTTCTCTCCCCCGCCTCCTCTCAGGGTCTCCCAAAAACAGCCACCCTGGCAGTGCAGTGCGTGAGCTCCTTCGCCGTGGATTTTTTCCTACAGACCCATCTGTACCACGCTGGTGTCCTCTGGCACCTGCTGGTCCACCTCTTCAACTACGACTACACTCTGGAGGAGAGCGGCGTGCAGGCCAGCCAGGACACAAACCAGCAGGAGGTGGCAAACAGCCTGGCCAAGCTCAGCCTGCTCGCTCTCAGCCGTCTGGGAGGCTACGCCCAGACACCACCTGCGCCAGACGGCAACAATCCTGTGTCAGAGACCAACGGCATTGAGGGCACGCCTCCGGAGAACCCCACCATCCGCAAGAGCTTAGCGGCCATGCTGACGCCTTACATCTCCCGGAAGCTGGGAACAGGATCCCCTGCTGTGGTATGTTGAGCAGGCAGACTTGGGGACGGTCGTTTCAAGATTCTTATTTTTTTTACATCTTTTTACATAAACCACAACGTCAAGCTGAGGGCCTTGTTGTGCGTTTTTAGGTCTTGAAGCTGCTGAATAGCAACTCTGAGAACCCCTACTTGATCTGGAACAATGGAACCAGAGCCGAGCTGCTCGAGTTCCTGGAGGGTCAACAGGAGGGAAACATCAAGAGGGTATGAATAACACAAAATCATCCATCAGTATATCGGCATTAGTGATCAGCTATGTCTGGAGCAAACATGAGTTCTTGATGCGTTCTGTCTGTGGTGTCTTTACAGGGGGAGAATGATAAAAGCTTCGGTGCCGAGTTTTTGTTCACTGATCACAGCAAAGAGCTGATAGTTGGGGAGATCTTTGTGCGGGTCTACAATGAGCAACCGACTTTTCCTCTTGAGGTGAGTAACAGGACATACTGCCATTCTGTTGCCACGGCAACCGCTTACCTCCGCTCAGCTACCAAGGCCTGCTACTGCATTAATAAACCGTGCAACAGAAGATACAAAGTGGCCCCCTCGGTGTTCATATTGACAGATTTAAAGGTCAATTGTTTTCTGCTACTCATCAGTCTGAATTAGACTCTTGAAATGGCCATATTCCTCATACAGTAGTTGTGATGTTGACATAAGCGATCACTAAATACCCATATTATTGTATTTTTGCAACAATGATTGAGCTTTAAATGCTATAATTTTGTTAGTACCCCAAAGCCTTTGCAGCAAGTCTTCTGGACTACGTAGGCTCCCAGGCCCAGTACCTGCACACTCTGCTGGCCATGAGTCAGAGTAACAAAGTAGAGTCCCAGCAGCACGCCGAGAGGCTCCGCTACGCTGAGATGTCTTTAGAGGCTCTCCGCAATGTCATCAGGAACAACCCCGGTAAGATGTGTTGCTTCCTCCACTTCTGGCCTGATTCATTTCATTTAAGATGTCTTCACTTCACACAGCTGTCATCTTTTCCGCGTTGTTTCAGGTTCGGAGTCCGAGTGTATCGGCCATTTCAAACTGCTCTTTTCTCTGTTGCGGGTTCACGGAGCTGGCAGAGTACAGCAGCTAGTTTTGGAGGTAGAGGTTCTTGGTCGTGATATCTAAATAATACCAAGATTCTCAGTGTCTGTGCATTTCACACGTAATGTTTTTTCTCTGCAGGTTGTAAATACAGTGACGTCAAACCAAGAATGCGTGAGCAACATTTCTGAGTCGCTGGTGTTGTCCAACCTTCTGTTGCTGCTGCACTCACTCCCCTCAAGTACAAAATACTCTTTATAAGAAAACATTATTATCTTGCTCATTGCTGCCTTTTCTAACCTATGCTGTGTCGTTTCTGTTTTGCGCATCATTTAGGCAGGCAAATGGTGCTGGAAACCTTGTATGCACTGACTTCTAACACTAAGATTGTGAAAGAGGCTATGGCGAAAGGTCAGTGAAAAATCCACAGTTGATTTTCCATATATTTGGGAATTGTGATGCACACAGATGCTCATGATTATCCATTTGTTCCCCAGGTGCTCTGATCTACTTACTAGACCTCTTCTGTAACTGCACACATCCCCAAGTTCGCACGCAGACCGCTGAGCTCTTCTCCAAGATGACCTCAGACAAGCTGGTCGGGCCAAAGGTCAGTCTCGACAGATATAAATAAAATAATTGAAAAGATAAATGTCCTCCATGGGTTATGGTGCCTCGACTTACATCTCTATCTCTGCCAGGTGCGTCTAACGCTAATCCGTTTCCTTCCTGGCGTCTTCATGGACGCCATGAGAGACAACGCGGAAGCAGCCGTGCACATATTCGAGGGAACGCACGAGAACCCTGAGCTCATCTGGAATGACAGCTCCAGGGAGACGGTGTCCACTACTGTCCGGGAGATGATGCTTGAGTATGACATGAGCAGAGTATAATTCAAACTACACAGAGTAGTTTGAATTAGTGTCCTAACTGTCTTATTTTTTTTAGGCACTTTAAGCAGCAGAAGGATAATCCTGATGTGAACTGGAAAGTACGTTTCAACACAATATAAGCATTGAAAATAAACCAAAAACAGCAGTAATATGAATATGTTGTGTGGGATTTTAATGTCTTTGTCTTCTCAGTTGCCGGAGGACTTCACGGTGGCTTATGGAGCAGGACAGGGCGAACTAGAAGTCGGTGGCGTCTTCTTGCGCATCTTTATTGCTCAGCCAGGATGGGTGCTTCGAAAGCCGCGAGAGTTCTTGGTCTCTCTTCTAGAGACCCTGACGGAGCTGCTGGAGAAAAACAACCCCAATGTGAGCGTCCTTGCAGAGAAATCCAAACAGGCAGAGGATTTTTTTTTGGTCCAGTTCGTTTGAACTCAACTCCCTGTGATGTCCCGCAGGGTGAGGCCCTGGAGACGGTCTGCACGGCGGCGGTCTGCCTGTTCAGCTCACAGAGCCAGCTGGCCGACCAGGTCCCTCCTCTGGGTCACCTGCCTCGTGTCCTGGCAGCACTCAACCACAAGAACAACGCAGTGCCCAAGAGCGCCATCCGGCTCATCCACGTGCTGTCAGACAACGAGGTGAGTAGCCAATCACTCACACACACGCAATCACCTGAAGGCACCAGACTTCATGTATTTTGAATATTCATAGTTTCATGTTGTTTTCTTAAGATTTACCAACAAACAATTTATTGAGCAGCGGTCAGCTTTCTGCACAATGACACACTGGAATTGTTCTTTCGTCTAGCTGTGCGTGCGCTCCATGTCTGCTCTGGAGACTATCGGCCCCCTCATGACTGGGATGAGATCTCGCGCCGACATGGCCGGGTTGGCTTGTGAAGCTCTCAACCGCATGTTCCAGAAAGAGCAGACGGAACTAGTGGCCCAGGTAAACTGTCCCCTTTAGTACTTGTTACAATTTGATTGTGTGCATCATGCTTGAAGATCATATAAAATGAATAATTAATAATAATCATTCATTACTAAACTGAACAGGCTCTCAGAGTGGAGCTGGTCCCGTATCTCCTGAAGCTGTTAGAAGGAATCGGCCTGGAGACATTAGACAACCCTTCAGCTACTAAAGCCCAGATCGTAAAGGCTCTCAAGTCCATGACTCGCAGTCTGCAGTACGGAGAGCAGGTACGATCAGAATACATGACCGGCAGGATTATCAATTCAAGCCACGAAATAGTCGGTACCCTCATCGTTAAAAATGACATCATTCTGCTGTTTAAAACGCTTTGCAGGTTAATGAGATTCTTGCAAAGTCTTCAGTGTGGAGTGCCTTCAAAGACCAGAAACACGACCTCTTCATCTCCGAGTCTCAGACCGCAGGTTACCTGACAGGTAAGTTATTGACACCTGGCATCACAAAACCTGACATTTAGCAAAACTGTTGATTGTTTGGCTGTCAGTGTTTCGTAGGTACGTCTTGTGTGCCTTTGTCTTCAATCTTAATGCTTTGCTTTATCCTAAAACCACCTCGTTGCTGACTCCTCACTTGTGCTTGAACCCAGAGACCCTTTCTGTCTCCACGTCCTATAACTTCCTGGCTCTGCCTTTCCCTTCCTCTTTGTCCTCATCCACGTTTCCTCCTCAGGGGTATCCACTCCTTCTCTCCTGGCTGCCAGTAGCCCACTGCGAGGAGGGCTCTAGACTCCTAAGCTGGGTCCTCCCAGCCCTCCTCTCTCTTGCTCTGATGCAGGTAGACGTTGACCTCGCTCCTACTGCCATTCCTCGCTCCTTTACCACCATCCTTATTCCACACTTCATTTTCCATTTCCATCTCTCCATCTTTAAAATCTGCTAACAATGATTTAATCTTCATCTCCATTCACCAACTGCTACTTATCACAATCCAGTTTCATGAACTAACAGAAATGCCCTTGGAAGTTGAAATGAGCAGCGCGGTCAGTGTAGTGATCAGTCCTCCACACGTACAGTAGTTGATGGGTCTTTGTTTAGTTCATCCTTGTTGCTCCCCACTAGCACTCCAGCTATCCGACGTAGTAACGCCTGGTCTGAATCGTGTCTATGCTCCTGTCACCCGTAGGTCCAGGAGTAGCAGGTTACCTTACAGCAGGAGCTGGCACCCCAGTAATGCCCAACGTCCCACCCCCAGTGGATAACGACATTGGAGACCAAGGCTGATGGACACAATCATGGTCACACTCAGGCACCCAGGCTGCCCTGCTGCTCCACGGCTGCAGCTCAGAGAGGGACTGTCCAGCTCCCACACGAGGGGGTGGAGAGAGCGAGAGAGAGAAAGACGGAGGAGAGCGGTCCGTCGTTGACAGTCACCAAAATCTCTGCAACACCTCCTCCAGTGTCCCCCTCCTCTCCCCTTACAAATGCCACTCAAGTCTTCACAAACACTTTGAAATTGTTTTAACGGATGACCACATTTGTTTTGTTTCTGTGCTGCTCTTCTTGTTTCTTCCATTGACAAAAGAGTTGCCTTTTTTGTATGAAATATATTTTTTACTCTAGATTGTTTTTTTTTTTCATGAGAAAGACATTTCAATACTGAGGGGTGTTTATAAGTTAACTGTCTCTTCTCTATTATCGTATTCCTCTTTGTCATATCCTAATTGACTACACTTCTTTCCAAATCCTGAACAGAGGGTACTTGGCCATGTTTGTGACACGTTAGTGCACAGGACCTATCCACCTTTTACATAAACATGCCATTTATTAATCTGTGTAATGGATTATCGTATGGAAGAAAAGTGTACAAGAAGGAAATTGGAAAATGTGTGTAAGATTTGGCTGCCTTGATTCTTCACAAGAAAATATCTTTTGAACCATCAGAGTGATGGTGAGCTCTGGTCATGTCGAGTTCCATCCATTCGTTCCAGGTTGACTGATCTGATCTCCAAATGTCTATCCCCCTTTCCTCTGATCCTAGTTCCTTCTGCTCCTAGAAGGCGATCATCTCTGACTCTCAATTTTTAAAGTGATTCTCCTTCCCCCAGAATGCAAAAAGCACTAGAATATTTATACGTGAACAATAACCAACGATAATGAGCTTCTGCTAAGACATGATGAATGACGTTGACTGCTTTATGAATCTATGTGAAAGACAGTGCAATTTGTGAAATGTTCAATGTAATATTGCGTATATAAAATTTCTATGATAAATGTACATTAAAAAAAAAAAAAATCAGTTGCACTTGTACATAAAATTTTAAGAATAAAAGGGAACCCATAGTGTTGTTCTTTTGTATGTACATTTGTTTGTCACGGCAGTTGATATAAGAGAAAGATATTAGACATCATTTTCTGAAATCTCTTTCTCTCTTGAACAGCTTGAATTGATTTAATAACGTTAAACCTGGAGTGATAGGGACTTACAACCTTTCCTGAATTTACATTACATTATGATTTCTTTTTTAAAAAATGCTTTGTGAATTAAGGGAATTATCATACACGTTTTATAGATTAGGATTTTGTATTTCCTCAAAACCGTCTAGATGTCGCTTTTATTTAGGTTAATGTGTTCTTATATAAGATAAGAGACATAAGATAATTTAAATTAATTTAAGGTGGGGCAGGGGGTGGAGCGGGTGCGCTGGGAACCGCAAGGTTGGTGGTTCAAGTCCTGGCTGCCCCATGTTTCAAGTCAAAGTGTCCCTGAGTAAGACACCTAACCCATAATTGCTCCCCGGGCAAAATGTGAAAAAGCCATGGGTTTAAAGTGTAATATAAGTCGCTTTGGATAAAAGCATCAGCTAAATGACCTGTAATGTAATAACACTACGTTCAATATTAAACGTAAATCCTGCGGATCGTTCTAACCCTTTATGATGATTTCCACACGGTCAGAATAGCAGGGGACACCGGAAGTTGTGTCGTTGGCGCGAATAATAACAACAAAGCTGATATTTCAATTTTTCCTAGCTGCTATCATTTAATTATCACAAAATGTATAGCCATGTATCCAACTCCATGGACAACGTTTGTTTATAATGTGTATAATTGCTTTATTTGAAGTATTTCTAACGTTATAACGTCAAATGTTGTTTAAATGTTGGCTAACCCAGTCGCTGCCTCGTAGGTTAGACAGACGAGCTTTCCTAAACTGACAGCAGCGTTTTAATTAGTATCGCTAACGTAAAACGAGCGACAGTACGTCTTTACTTCCGAAAAGGTAAGTTGCCATCAGTGTATGGTAGTTTACACTACTGTAAGAGACTAAAACGTTTGCCAGTTCGCCTAGATTATTTACTTAAAGCGCGAGATGAACAAACTGCAGCCGGTTTATTATGACGTTTTATGTGTGATCGTAGCATAACGCTATTCTCGGTTAGTGAGAACTGCCACATACTCGAGAAGCTAACGTCACAGCTAAGCCGAGCTGTCGTCGTTATAACAAACGTTAATGCAGAGTATTTGTCACTGGTCCTGGTTCAGCTAGCCATGTCCAAAGGAGACAAGGAAGGCTTCATTGTGAAGTTTGTGGAAAGCAGAGCACAGAACAGAACAGAGTATGCTGTCAAGGCGTACGAGGTAAAGTCCAATTCTTCTATTGATTAAGTTGATTACCTTTTGTTGTCACTGTGCTAATAGCTGTTATTTTGCAATGGACCGTGACCCTTTCCTCTTGTTTACAAAGGCCATTTTGGAGCTGCAGTCTGACAAGTACTTGAAAACCGTCGATGAAGATGCAGTTTTGCAGATGGACCAGAAGGACAAGTCTCTGTTCGTCTTCAGCAGCTTCTCCAGCCCAGCCTTTGTGCACTGCAAAAAGGTCTGACTCCGCATTTGACTCGTCAAAAAACAGGACAGTGACTTTCACAGGATTTGGTGAAGCTCTGTCACACAGTGTAATTGTTATTTTTCTCCGCCTTTTTGTTATTCGTCGTGTAGCTTGGCTGCCGGGTGGTGAGTCCACTGGTGGTGTTGTACTGCCTGCAGCAGCAGCATTGTGTCCCCAAAGCAGAGAAGCCCGTCTATAACATGGCCATGGCTGACATCACTATTTCCTGCACCAGCTTGGATAAAGCAACACGGGTAAGTTCACTTTACTGCATATGGTCCTTTTCAGATTGTTGCTTTACCTGCTTTTTGAAAAATTGCAGCGTTTCACTGATTTTAGACAAGTATCGTGCAATAGAATATCCTTTTAAAGATTAAATGTGAGTGATGTTAGGCAGATTCGCTTCTCCCATATAGGCTGTTTTTAGCATGTTGGTTATCTGGGGATTTATTAAGTGTCAATCTCAGCTGCCTGTTGTTGTGATATGAACATGTGTTAAGAGAAATATTTTCAGAGAAGAATATAATATTATGACATGTTAACTAAGGTGGCCCCAATCTTTGTTAAATACATACTTTTCAGTGTTTGCACTTAAAAATGTCAGTCTGAAAGCTGGCCGTTATAGTGGACCACAGGTGTACGTCCCAAAATACATTTTAAAAAGTAGTACAGATGTAATCTTCTGCATAGGAGTTGAAGGGAGATTAAGGAAGGCACAGCACAGTGGCTTCTTCAGTGTTCTCTGATGTGTTTGTGTCCGTCTCTCTACAGGCAGAGGTGATGGACCTGGTGCAACTCATGGGTGGACGGGTCTATCTTGATCTAAACGTATCGGTCACACACCTGATAGCTGGTGAGGTGGGCAGCAAAAAATACCTGGTAGCGGCCAGCCTGGATAAACCCATCCTGCTGCCCACGTGGGTCAAAGCCTGCTGGGAAAAATCTCAAAACAGGTGCACTGTCATTAAAAGTGACATTTCTGTTCTAATCTATATAGAGAAGGAATCACACAGGTTTTTTTCTTTTTTTTTTTAGATCTTTTCAGGCTAAATAAACAAAACAGAACTTTCAGTTGAACAAAGTCAAACTATACCAATGTTTGATATTTTTGACTGACGACTGTTTTAATACAACTTGTGACTATGATTACTCTGTAAATGATGATTAACACGTCACTCTGCCCCCTTCAGTCTTTTCAGGTATACAGATCTACCCATCGAGGACCATCTGTGCCCAGTGTTGCGTGGTTGCACTGTTTGTGTGACCGGCCTCTCGAGCACAGAGCGCAAAGAGGTGCAGCGGCTCTGTGATCAGCACGGAGCCAAGTACACCGGTCAGCTCAAAATGAATGAGTGCACGCATCTCATTGTTAGTGAGCCAACAGGTAAGTGACCAACAGTTTCAGCACAATGGGTTCCATTATTGCGAACCAGTATCATTTGCAAGTGCTTGTATTTGTTTTGCAGGTCAGAAGTACGAGTGTGCAAGGAAGTGGAATGTGTATTGCGTGTCTCTGCACTGGCTGTTTGACAGCATAGAAAAAGGTTTCTGTCAAGACGAGAGCAGGTACACTGTGACGCGAAACGCATCCAAGGCCACTCGCCCGCACACTTCCACCCCCACTGGCACCAACAAGAAGGAGGGTGAGTCGCAGACAGTCGTTTGTTGTGCACTGGGTTTTTGTCAGTCTGTAACAAATTATATTAAAGGATCTTTTCGGCCTTTCTTTATAACTCTAGAGGGTCCATCTCTGCTGGGCTTGAGCCACATATCTGTGAATGCTAGCATGACCGTAAACGACACAGCCCTCACTAACAGCACCATCAGCCGCCTGGAAGCTCCAGACCCCGTTGATTCTCTGGATCTCACCGTCTGCCCAGCAGATGATATATTTGATGGTTGCAAGGTAAACGAAAGCATGTTCCTTCCATTGCCGCTATTTGGTTGTTCTAGTTTTTGTATAATGTGGAGAACATAAATGAGGCTTTTTTTTTTTTTAATAAGCTTCGTTAAATGTTGTGCAGTTGTACCTGTGTGGCCTCCCGGGGAAGAAACTGGAGAAGCTGAGGCGTCTCGTGAACGCTGCAGGAGGTCTGCGCTTCAATCAGCCCAGTGAGGAACTCACACATGTGGTCATGGGGGAGCTGGACCAGGACCTCAAGAATTTTCTGTTCAAAGCAACGCATAGGTCTGCAAAGATTACTTTACATTACTTTATGTGGTGTTGATTTCAATCTCAACTATAGAAGCTCTGTGTTTCTGTCCAGAACAAAAATATTCATCCAAAATCAGCCATAAAACTATATATTGATATAGTTTTCTTATTTCACTGAGTTACATTTCTTTAAATCAACATTACTTCCAATAATTATTTTACTCTCAGAATTTACCTGTCAAATTGCATTTTGTTGATATAATGCCACTCTTACTTTACTTTTTTACTTCAGTGTTTTATACAGTCTCAGCTTTGTGCTTCAGGTCCAAGTAGAAAAATGCGGAAAAAAATTGAAGCCTGATATAATGGAATACATGATTTTATGCTCTAGTGACCTTGGGACCCAAATTCCTCATTTCAATTGGGATATTTTTGTCCTTAAAGGTCTGAGTGTCAAAGTTTCCTTTATACTTATTTTAGGAGCTGAGGTTGATTTTCCGAAACTTACATCCTTGTCTCACTAAACGACCAAAATTAAGACTTTTTTTTTTTTTAATACGATGAATTTGAAGTGAAATTTCAAACTTTGGAGTCCAAGCAATTGATTTGAGTCCTCTCTCTAAATTTAACTTCAGGATACATCCTCACTTTAAGTTTCTCCTGCTGAAAGCATCAAAACGATTCTGCAGTTCCCAGTCTGATTAATCCTTGAATAGAATGTAATGTATCACCCTGTATGTTACTTCTCAGACCTCATGTCGTAACGGTGCAGTGGCTGCTGGACAGTTATAACAAAGGCGGTGTAATCCCGGAAGCGGATTACCTCCACCCCGACTGTCTTCCCCCGGCTGCTGTATGCGTGTCTGCCGGCCGCATTCCCACCTCCCGGCACTCGGCTGGTCCCCTTGCAGCCAGTCCCAGCACTCCCAGGCAAACGAGAGCAGAGGAAGACCTGCTCTCTCAGTACATGGACGACGACCCTACAATAGGCAAGTGTCTTGTAAAGAATTAGATCCCATTTTACTCGTTTATCATTACTGCCTTTCTCATTCTTCGTCTTTTATCCTCCAGTGGAAATGCCGCCGCCGGCGGTAGAGAGTAACAGCAGGAAGTCCATCGGTACATGTGCTGGAACTTGGGCGCCAAGCCGCAGCAGAGCACCAGAGCCAGACTCAACCCTGCAGGAAGCCAGCGAGACAGGCCTGTTTTTCGGGAAATGTTTCCTTCTCGTGGGCTTCGGCGCCGAGGCAGAGACCCAGCTCTCTCTTCTCGTGACGGAAAATGGAGGCCGGGTGCTGATGGGCCGCACACGTGTCGTGGCAGACTATGCGGTGGTCCCGCTGTTGGGCTGCTCAGTGGAGGCCACAGTGGACGAGGTGGTCACTGATACCTGGCTGGTGAGATCAGTCGTACGGCTTTGATTGCGCCTGCGTTGAGAGGAATGCACGGCGTCCTCTGGGATTTTAGAGGCATCCTCAATTCGTCAACCGGTTGGACAAAGTAGCAGAAAAAATCTTTGTCGTTGCTTTGTCTGTGTTCCTCTTCAGGCCATGTGTGTGGAGAAGGAGTGTGTTCTGCAGCTGTCCTCCAACCCTTTGTTCACACCCGTCCCGCTGATGGAGGGGCGGTTTCCTCTCAAAGAGTGCGTTCTCTCCGTCAGCCAGTTCACGGGAGCAGAGAGGGAGTCTTTGGTGGAGCTGGCCAAGCACCTCGGAGCCAGGTACAGTTACATGGCAGCCCGACCTCACATGCCGTCTACTTTAATGCTACATCAAGGGGGCTAAGAAATTAGCCAGGAACCCAAGAATGGAATATGTCTTTAGTTGAAATAGGAGCAATATTACTAGTTCTATTTATATTCTACTTCACTCATAGCCGTTTTGTTTTTTTGTTCTTCCCTCCCTCCCGCAGCGTCCAGGACTACTTTGTGCGCCTGGCCAACCAGAAGAAAGGGATGCTGGCCAGCACTCACCTGGTGCTGCAGAGCCCCGAAGGCACAAAGTACCAAGCGGCCAAGAAATGGGGGCTGCCAGCCGTCACCATGCACTGGATCCTCGGGTCTGCTCGGACCGGCCGCAGGGCGGAGGAGGGGCTTTATCTAGTGGACCAGCCAACCTCACTGGGTTCGAAAAAGTGGCACAATTCAAGTCTTTTATTTGGCAACAAAGTAATGTTTCATTTGCGTTGTTTTGTGGGTGTTACGTCACATTGATTTCCTTTTTCTTCTACAACAGAGAGGGATGATGAGAGCTTCGTCGGTGGGTCCCAGAAGGCCGCCATGCCTCCACCGGCACGCTCGTCTCCAGAGATCCCTTTGCTGGGTCTGCAGGGCGGTAAGGCCGTTACTCCGCTGGATCTGGGTCGCCTGCGGAGCAAAGTGTTGCGCTCTGTGTTGGATGAGAGGAAGCCCAAAGACGACGTCGGCACCCCCAAGCAAAAGCCAGAAGGCTGCAGAAGTCACCCTCCTCTGAAGGAGACCTACCTGAATCTGGACACTCCCTCTCGTTTCCTCAGCAGAGACCAGCTCTTCAGGGCGACTCTCAACTCCAAGGTTTGGGCCAACTAAGTAGCAACGGAATCTTGAGATACAATTACAACTTCAGCTTGACGATTAGAGCTTGAAGCAATAAGTTGTGCGCTGGTAAATAAATGGGCCGTTCCTTTTTTGTTAAGGATGCTCTAGGAGCATTGGAGACTCCGGGGGGAAAATCCAAACCAGCAGAGATGGTGGAGACCCCGCTGACTGATGTCATCAACCGGCACCTGAAGGTGTCGCTCGCCAACAGAAACCGAAATGGCGTCTCACACAGCGATATGCAAGCGATCACTGCCAGCCCCAAATTCACAAGGGCCACCGAGGAGGTAAACCCAATCGTAGTAGTACAAGGGAAAGTGAACATGTGATCGAGGTAGATGATATTCTGTCTATGTTCCTTGATATTTGAACAAAAATGATTGTCAAATTTGTTTGTAAGGTCCCTCAAAAAGAACCGGGCTCTCTGGCTGGTGTTGTGATCTGTGTGGGAAAGAAGCTGAGCAAAATGCAGAGCGAGCTCAATGCCGTCGCCGCCTCGCTCGGCGCGGACTTCAGGTACTCGACACACCGTCAATTAAAGAAGACTTAAATGATGTCATTATGAGACAATGTTGAGGAGCCGGTGTGTGCTGTTTGATTTGTTTTTAGTTTAAATCTGAGTTCGCTTGGTTGCAATATGTTCAATTGTCAATTCAATCTCACCGCATCGACTTGTTTTTAGGTGGGCTTGTGACGATACGGTGACGCACTACATCTACCAGGGACGCGTGGGCGACAACAGCCGCGAGTACCGAGGCGTGAAGGAGCGAGGCCTGCACGTGGTCTCCCAGTACTGGCTGCAGGCTGTACGTTTCCCACTTGCAAATATATATTCACTCAGCTTGTTTGACTCTCAACTGCTCTGTACTATATATTAATATATATAGATATTAATATAATGGTTTTACACTTTTAAATGAATGATGACTGGTATTAACGATTGTTTGCTCAATCAAGCAATTGGTTGGTTAGTTGTTGGTTTTGACCAACCGGCAGCTCAAATCCCTAAAATATTCAAATCATAATTATATAAGCAGAGAAAAGCTTTTTGAGAATCTGGACCGAAAATAGCTCTTTTTTTTACATACATTTAATTCATTACTTAATTATGAAATGTTTTTTTATTCTTAATCAGTTGTTTTAGCGCAGTAATGAATGAGTATGAAAAACTACTCATAAATAGAACATTTCTATCCCGATCCACCATACTGTGTTATTTTTCTTATGATGGTAAATAATGAGCTTCAATTAGGTAAAAATGAGCAAAGATAGTTATGAAATTCTATGTTTATTTTCATTCTCTTATTGGTTTATTCTTTTGTACAATACTGGTGATGTTCGGTTCTCCTATAAGTGATATTATAAGCAATTATTTTTTTAATTTCCTGGTGGTTGTCGCTGCTTTGTACTTCCCGTTACCAACATTTCATCCCATCAAGAGCAAAAAACGTCTGACGTGTTTATTTCGTAGAGAAATGTGGAGTCGCAGCGATGTTTCTCCTCATAGTTTATTCAATTTAAAGATTTCTCTCTAATAAGCTTCTGTTTTCTCTATTTTTGTTGTGTCGCCTTGAGCAGTGTGCGGAGGAACAGAGACACGTCCCCGAGTCTCTGTATCCGTTCACCTACAACCCCAAAATGAGCCTGAACCTCAGCCAGGTGCCCAACAGCTCTCAGAGGTCTCCACCTTTTACACGGACCCAAGTCAAAAACATCACGGACGCAAAAGACGAGATGGTGGGTCTAAACGATTATTTAAATTCACCCAGAATCGGTTCTGCAGGAATCCGTGTGTTCTTTTCTCTGATGGAGACGCACGTCTTTGATGCTGTAATTGTCTTTCTTTGTGCCGCGTTGTCCTTCAGCGCGAACGCGTTAACGCAGAGGAAGCCCCAACGTTACGCCGCGTAAGCGATGGAAGCACCGATAACGAAGACACAAATGATGCTGCAGGGCGAAGCGGTGGGTGTCTCTCCCCCCCTCCTCTTCCCCCCCCACAAGGCTTTTGTATATTTAAAAGAACACGCTGACTCCTGTGGTGAACTCTCCTGCGTGTGCAGATGTTACGGAGACTCTAGAAATGAGAGAGAACCTGCAAAGGCAGCTCCAGGAGATCATGTCGGCCACCAAGCTGACCACGGGGAGGCGTACCTCGGTAAGACTCAGCAGAATGGGATCGGGGGGGGGCGACTCGGACCCCCACACACCCGATGGCAGCCGGTTCGGACGCTGCGGGACCCGACGTACTCTGGAAGCTCTGAGGTAAGGAAAAAAAAAAAAATACAACCATAACCAAAGATGGCAATCAAGTGGCGGTCGCCCGCCTCCACCTCATCGTGTCCCGGTTTCAGGGTTCCCAGAGAAGCAGCGCTGGACATCAACACGGAGCCGTCTCAGAGCGAGCAGATCGTTTGGGACGACCCGACAGCCAGGGAGGAGAGGGCCAAGCTGGCCGACAATCTGCAGTGGCCCGGGAGTCCGTCCCAACAATCGGAGCCCTTCGCGGCCCCGCCTCCTCCCGCCGCTCAGTTCTCGGACTCCATGACGGACTCCGAGCTGGTGGAGATGGGTGAGAGGTCAAACGCGTCATGACCTTAGGAGGAGATTGACACGGCAGTAAATTAAAAGGCTGTGAGCCACTTCTGGCCCTGATGATTACTGACAAAAGGGATGTTGTTATCATGCTAGAGCCGGGACCCATTTAGATGGATTTTATCAAAATGCGGTTTGACGGGTGTCTAATAATAAGGAAAGAGAATAATTTCACCCTGCGTCCTGTCACAGCTGCTTGTGACGTCATCGACCAGCACATGGGCCATAAAAGAGTCGCCAGGCCTCCAACGGAGGAGCGGGAAACGGACATCCTCACTCCCAAAGCCCCCAGCATCACCTTCCCTCTCGCCAACCCCCCGGTCGCACCGGAGCCACAGGTGAAGCCGGCAAGATGACGATGCATTATTGTACCTGTGACGTGGTTTAAACAGGCTGCCGGTGCTCATCGGTTCTTTTTTTTCTCTCAGGAGGAGCCGGAGGAGGAGGAGGAGGAGAAGCAGCCACCCAGGTTTCAGCTGTCCTCCCTCAGCCCACAAGAACGCATTGATTACAGTCACCTCATAGAGGAGCTTGGTGAGTCTTTAGGGCTCTAACGGGGTTTCAACATGCTGCTGTAGCAGCCGCGGGCCTGAAGTCAGAGGAGCTAATTCCTGCCGACTATAAAAGGCGGAAGAGCCTCTCGTGTTGGGGAATTATTCCCCCTGCAGATGCTTCCTGACCAGACCAGATGCAGCATTTACAAACAGAAACATTAACGAAATACTTGACCCGCAAAGCGACACAATTCAGGACTGCATGAGGCTGTTTAAAAGGTTTTTATGTGGTTTTAAGTAATGAGCATACTGGATAAATGAGATTTTGGTTATGGTGCAGGACTTGTGTGAGAGTTAAAGTGTCCTCCCATTTTGGGGAGAAAAAAAAATCCTTCAGTATTCAAGGTAACGCGAGTGATTTATTTGTCGGTTAAGTTTTCCTTTAAGAACAAAGGGATTCAATGCATTCAACAGTCCACAAGATTAAATAGTTTCTACAAAACGCTGATTCATTTTGCCTCTAAAAGGTTTAATTTGCAGCAGATCATAGTGAGTCACAGTTGACAGCGGTTCATACATTTATGAAACCCTTTTCAATGTGCGTAACTACGACTCCACGTTCGGTGCAGAATGTCTCCTCAATAGTTCCCGTCTCTTTCTGTGTGATTATTTAGGCGGCGTAGTCCTGGATAAGCAGTCTTTCGACCCCAGCTGCTCCCACATCATCGTCGGGACTCCCCTGCGTAACGAGAAGTACCTCGCGGCCATGGCGGCGGGCAAGTGGATCCTGCACCGCTCGTACCTGGAGGCCTGCCGCTCTGTGGATCGCTTCATCCAGGTCAGGATGTAAACACTCCCGATTTATCGTGAAACGATGCGTTAATAGTCGTTATCAACTAAAAGAGACGATCAGTTATTTAAACAGAATGAAGAAAAATGAGCTAATACAAAGTGTGTGTGTGTGCGCGCGTTCCAGGAGGATGAGTACGAGTGGGGCAGCGGCTCCATTCTGGACGCGTTGCCCTCCATCACCTCCCAGCAGAGGAGGCTGGCGCTAGCCGCCATGCGCTGGAGGAAAAGCCTGCAGGGCCGCTCCGATCGAGGGGTACCTACTGTCCTTTGTCCTCCCACTACGCCGTTTACGTATTCCGCTGATTATTAACCGTTTGCGTGTTTCCCAGGGAGCCTTCAGTGGGTGGACGGTCATGCTGAACATCGATCAGAGCAGAGAGTCCGGCTTCAGGCGGTTACTGCAGTCCGGCAATGCGAAGGTGGCCGCTTGTTTACTTGTGTGGAGTCCCACCTCATTTACTCGCCGCCGCTGCTGTTTCAAACCAATCGTTCATCACAGAGAAAGAGTTCTAGTGCTTTATTTAATGCCCGTAGTTTCTCCCTCTGCAGGTCCTGCCGAGTCCCTCCCCGTCCTTGTACAAGGAGGCCTCTCACCTGTTTGCGGACTTCAGCCGGCTGAAGCCCGGAGACTTCCGAGTGGACGTGTCGGAGGCCACCTCCCACGGGGTCAGATGCTTGAAGCCGGAGTACATCGCAGACTACCTCATGCAGGTCAGAGCAGCGTCAGCGGATCGGACTCGTATTATCGTGGATATCAAAACCGTAAATCGTTTCTCTGTGATGTTGATGCGAAAGTAACATTATCACTCAGTAGAGTAAATGTTAAATGTGTGCTTCATTCTCCTGCAACAGGATCCAACGCCGCCTATGGAGCTGTACCACCTGACCGAAGCTCCCTCTGAGGAAGCTCCTGGGACTCCGTCACGTAAGCGCAAAGCGTCCGCAGACAACTCCAGGCTGAAAAAGACACGTCTGACCTGAAACGCGGCTCCTAGAGATCGTCTATGAAATGATTTTTGTAAATAAGATTGTTGTTGTTTTTTTTGTTTATGTGCTAAAAATAAAATAAGTGGAGCATTTGTTGTGACAATTTGGCATCTTAAACTCAAGTGCATCGCAGTTTGTGCGGTGAACTCTGAGGCTTTAAGCCTTGATGGATCACTGAAGGTCTGAAAAATGTGTCGAGTCATGTTTTGTAATTGGGTGCAATGACCTTCTCTGGCCTGTGAGGGGCAGTACTCCTTCACTGCTGACTCAGCGCTGCGTTAGAGAGCAGCGCAACGAGAAAGCAAGTTTCTAATGAGGAGTTTTATCTTGAAAAACGACTATTCCAAGTTAATAACTATTTATTTTTCTGTTGCCTGATTATATCTGTGTAGTTATTTTTCGCAGCTCTTTTCCTCCTTAAAGTGAATAAAATGAATCACTTCTCGACTGTCCTGCCTCTGCATTAATAAATGCTTTGTTATACTGTTAGTCAGCATACTTTATTTCTGTACTCTTGTTCACAGTCAAAGAGGTTGATGAAAGCAATCGAAACATTAACAATCAATTAGTCGTGTACGCTTCGTCTACGACGTGGTAATGGCTCACTGGCTCCTGCTGTTGATCTCCGTGTGCAGAAAAACAGCAGATTTTGTTTACCTGTTTAGGCCTTTGGTGGAGCGATGTGCTGTTTCATGGAGGTCACATCCCCCTGTTGGCTCACATGCGGTCGGATAAGTGGTTTAACCTCGTAATAGATTGACACAGACTCTGGGTTGAGCTGCTGGGGAGGTGTGGGATTAGAGGACATGACTCAGGCTGCTGAGGCCTCCGACGAAGGAAGGAGTAGAGGTTTGTACTAAAAAGATGTGCAAAGTCACTTATAATAGTTGTTCCCCTCCCTTTTTGACTTCTGGTCCCTTTAGAACGAAGCAATTGCTTTGTGTCACCTGGTCAGATGTTGCATGTGGTCATAGATTGTGAGCTGTGCCACTCTGTGTTTTTGGATATTTGCATCTTAGACCTGAAAGTATCAAGCATTTTACAGGAAAGAAAATCCCTTTCCGTTAATCTTCTTGAGACCTCTTGCATATGTCATGTGACCCCCCCCCCCTCCCCCCCCCCAATGAGTCCCGGGCCCCAGGTTGAGAACCACTGAGCTGTAGCACTCAACACATTATAATACCGAATCCGAATCTCTTATAACTCAAACTAAAAGGTTTTAAAAAAAAAACTGATTTAGTCGCGGGATTAAATAAGATATGTGAGTAAATAAGAAGCTCACTGGAGGCACCATATTATCTGCAAAATAATCAAAAATAATATAAATAAGTCCCCCGCATTTATTTTTAGATATTATTGATTAGTTTCCTTCTCTTCAAATCCTTTGGAAAGTCGTGTAGTATTTTTTCAAATAACGTCATAAACTATAAAAATTCATTTACAGACTAAAAGGATTTCCAATTAATCAATTAAGCATCCCCCATGATTAGATTGTGTCCAGCTGCTGTGGAAGCTCGCACGTCAAACGTCCTGCAGCTTCCCCCCGTGAGCCCGCTGTGGTTCTGCAGCAGTGCGCCACGAGGGACGAGCCGGGGGGGCTTCGTGGGGATGAAATGGCACAAAACCCGCGTCCCCTGCGCATGTTGGCTTTGGCTGATCTGAGTCGGGACATCCCAAACTCGTTTCCAGCCAACAGGTGTCCCGCGGGCTAATCTCCCACTCAGCCGAGTGGATGGTGGCCAACAGTCGAGGATCCTTTGACGCTGCATTGCGTCCATTCCTCTCCCCGCGCGCGGCAACTTTACGGGTTTTCTTTTTCTCGGGACGGTTGGATTTCAGCGCGACTCCTCCGATCAGAGGAAGGAGGGGAGGGAGGTGGGGGGGGCGGCTCCGCAGCGGTCCTCATTAAAATTCTCTCACCGTATACAGTCACCACGAACACCCTCCTTCAAGTGGGTGGCACCGGCGCTCCTGCGCGCCTCTTTGATTGCGCACCACGCACTTGAACGGGGGATGCAAGCGGATCACGCGGGTTTCGTCAGACAGCGGTGCCCTTCGAGGCGGAGAGTTTCAAACCCCAACCCACGCGCCCCCGCCCCCACACACACCACGAACACCACCCTCCATCTCCCCCCACCCCCGGCCTCCCGTGCAGACACCTCTCATCCGGCGACTGGACGCGCTGCGCAGCCACAAGCTCCGCTCCCGCAGAAGCAGAAGCGCTTCACTTGGCTCCACTGCTTGCGGCTCCCGGCTGCTGTGACGTGTCCCGGTGAGGGGGGGTGGTGGTGGTGGTGGTGGGGGACTGGCAACATGTGCGCACGGATGCTGTGAAGAGTGACAGGGCGGCTTTTTCTTTTTATTAGGAGAGGGGGGGGAGGTTTCATTTCTCTCGGAATCGCCAAGTACCCGACGTAACGGCGCATAGGTGAGTACCACGTCAGTTCGTGTCTCTCTACCTGGTATCAGATAGTTCTGCCTCTTCTCCGCTACCTGGCCGGTGTTTCACGGTCATCTTTTTACGCATCGATCGCGTTGAGCACCCCGATTTGTTGCAGTCCTGGTGGAAGGTTTCCAATGACAGTCACGGACCCGAGCATCGCTGTCAGTGCTGCGCCCAACCAGGTCTGGACCGGTATTTGGGGACCTTTTACTTCAGAGCATCCATCGATGCTTTTACGTGATAGAAGTTGAGCTGCTGCCGGTTAGTTCTATGGAAGATTCTTGGAAATTTCTAATTTCACTGGAAAGAAAGAAATAAACACAGAGTTTGTGTGGGGATTCAGAAAATCTGTATTTTGGGGAATTAAAAAAAAAAGGTATCCTGGTCAATTCAGATTATGCTCTCTTTAGACTGGGTGGCAATACATTCTTGGAAAGATTAAAGGACATGATTCCTTGCAGTAGCACGCTGTAATCCCAGTCTATTAGGTTGTTTACATGCTCAATAAGAGGAGTTTAAAGTTGTTTTTTTTAGACCAATCAATCTTGCAACAGGAGGATCTCTGCCCTAAATGCCCTTCAAGTGGTTTATTCCTCAGGCAACATGGCAGCAACAAAGCAGATAATAGGAGGAACTCTCTTAAAACGTAGGACCACCATGAACAAACCGGCTTCACCAAACAGCTCCGTTTTGAGTGTGGAGCTCAAGCTTTGTTTCCACCCACGGGGATCGAATGGAGTATAAAGTAAAGCGTGCACTAAGTGAACCTGCCGGCCACTCTCTCCATTGTTCCAGGAATGTTTGGTTGCCCGTTCTCCACAGAAACCCCCCATCCCTTTGTTCTGGGGGACAATCCACCAGTGCCGTGTGTGTGTGTGTGTGTGTGTGTGGTGTGTGTGTGTGTGTGCGCGCAGTGGAGGGGGGGGAGGGAGAGGGGTCAGCGGGGGCTATTGACATCTGTAGCTGACAGCTTCCCTGGGCGAGCTGACGTGCTGTGATGCCATGAATGGGTATTAGGGAGCATATGTGCAGAGGACTTAACAGCAATGAGGACATGTATTCCGCGCACATCTGGAGAGATATCCTGCAGTGCATAAAGCTCTGGCAACATTTACGGAATATAACTTGATGCATCCACATGACGCGTGTGTTAGATTGCAGTTGATGAGAAAATCGTTGAAAATCGTTTTAGTCAAAAATCCTTTTCACTGGATTTGTTCGGCATTAACGATGCAGTATTGGTGTCAGTGTTTTAGCATCATCTAGTGGTCAGGTCGCAGATTGCAACTAACTAAAATGTCTCAATTAAAAAATGCCAATAAAACCCCAACAAATGCACACTGGCCTTTTATAATAATAAATAAATAAAATAAATATCACCAAATAGTCAAGAAACTATGCTATGCAACAGACAAATGGCAACAAAACAGCAAGATCGGTTGCGAAAGCTCGCATTGCCCAAAACAGATTTTTTTCGGTCTTATCTCGGCGAACGGCACCACACTGAAAACTGAAATGACAACAGTCCGGTAAAATAACTGTTATTTGAGTGTGCAGTGATATGGAACGCTCAGGTCAATCTGAACACGGACTGTACGTCATCGCTCAATAATGCACACACTGTGACTCACTCTCAACCAATCAGAACGCTGGATTTCATCTACCTGTATCATAGTAGTTATTGTTCAGCATAGTATATTTACCCAGTGGAGAATGACATAAAGAGGACATTTGCATTCGAAGATTTTGCCAATCCTGACAAATCCTGCCAATTATTTCTGATGTTGGAGGCCTGTGTGTGTGTGTGTGTGTGTGTGTGTGTGTGTGTGTGTGTGTGTGTGTGTGTGTGTGTGTGTGTCATTGCAACAAACACTTATTGGTGCTATATCTACGGTCATTTGGAAGAATTTCCAGAGGGCGATGGCCGAACAATCTCCCCAGATGGCCTCTTATCATGTCAGGAAACGTCTACGGTAACACGGAAAAAGGGCCCGGAAATGATCAGCTTTCACATGCAGACCTCCTTTAAACAAACGAGTTGAGGGAGTTCCAGGAAATGGGAAACTCTGGTTTCTGCCTCTTGCAGCAGAAAGTCCGAGCTGGGAAGAGAATGGGAAAACATTTTCAGGAGGGGGGGGGGTGTGCGTGGCAGTGTCTCATGGGTTTCATGCCTTTTAAGCGTCGCTGATGACTGGTAGAGAGTGGTACCCCGCGAGGTGGAATGCAGGCCCCCGGGGGCCCCTCGTGCTGCACAGTGTGTGCGATGGACTTTGCACTTTCGTCCGGCCCGACAAAAACAGGATTTTACCGAAGCAAATGGGAGGAAAAATCCAGCCTGTGCCATTTCTTTTCCTTTGCTTTATAAATGCCACGCAGTATTAACTAAGGCCCTCAGCTGGTTTCTAAATTACTTTAAGCTGGAGGGGGGGGGGGCATGTATACAGAAACCACGGGGGGAAGGCGCCACTCTGAAAAGAAGCGGGGGGAGAAAAAATAAATATATTTCCCCTTAGTTGACGATGCTATCAGCTAAAGAGCGTTCCCACAGGACCGGCCGTGCTTCAAAGAGTCTTAAAAAAAAAAAAAGCCTCTCTCAACGTGTTAATGTTTGAAAGCGTTCATACTGGGAACACTGGTATCAGAGCAGGCTCTGTTTGACCATCGGGGGTATAACTACCCCACCTGCCCCGACCAAGCATAGGTGGAGAAGTTAATGGATAATGAGCCATAATGATGATGAAGGGGGTGGCAGCGGGGAGGGCAGGGGGGGGGAGATAAGAGTGTGGCGACCGTCGGAGCGGTAGGTGTTTAGGAGGAGAATTCCTCACATGCCTCGGCTGCAGCCATGCCGCTCCAATCGGCACCTCCGCCCACTGATGGTCACCCTCTGTGGCGAGAGGGACCCGAGGGGCGAAAGGGCCCAGATAGGTCCCGCCCCAGGAAGCAGCCTCCGATCGTGGGTTTATGTAAGGCGCTTCCGTTTGCTCTCGAGATGTTGGGCAGTTTGAGGACCACAAGTGAGTTAAAGTTCTAAATCTCCAGTCCCCTTTTTGTCACGAGGCCGAACTTTAAGTCACTCGTCGCACGACTCCCTTCTTCCTCTCATGGGTTTTATAAGAGAACAGGGAGTATAGGGGGGGAGTGTTTTTCTTGTTACCATCTCAGAGCCCCTTTAATTATATCTGTTGGTATGAGGGGCGCTTAATGCCGGCATGTTCACTGTAGGTGCCCTCAGGACACGGTGGGGGGGGTTGTGTTTTAGGATCAATCGTCACATTTTTTAATGCAACTCAGCTGACTGGCTCTAATAGGATTATGGGAAGGCCTTGTGGGAGGCAGGGGTGACACATAACCCCAACCTGCCTGGGGGGGGGTCATGTGACAGAGGGGGAGAATGCTAGCAGGTGTCAGCACTGTGATTACGGGGTCTGAGGCCGGGCTCACCTACGATGATTACTGATGAACGGCTTGCAAAAGGAGGGAATATTTCTACAGAAAAAGAATTTGAGCCAGAGAGAACCCCTTGTCTCTGGTTTCAGCATTTCACTCATAATTTGTGGATACTAGTTTTTGGCGAGAGCAAATTGTGATCTAAGTCCTTTCTGTTCATCCGGCCTCCACGGCCATCACGCCTTGTCTTCTGTCCAGACTCATCTGATGGAGGCTGCAGATTAAAGTGGCACCATATGTCGGTGACGGAGGAGACCCCCTCCCCATGGTAGAGCTTGTTATTGCGCTCTATATCATTGCCAGCGGCTAATTGTCGTGGAGGATTAATGGGAGGGGCGTGACTCTCTTATCTAGTCCCAAATGCTTGGTCATTGCTACTTTTTTAGGCTACATTTTTAAATGACAGCGCTTGATTTTCCTCTAAATATTCCTCCATGAACAGACCTGATTTGTGGAAGTTACATTTACATGCTCGGTGTCTCTCTTCCAGAATTTACCTACAAATGAACATTTTCGCTTTTGAATGCCAGCAAAATAGATCTGGAGCTTTTGAGAATACCAAGCCGTTGTTTTCTCCGCGTGCCCGTGGCGCATATGGTTCATTTCATGGCTGCTGGAGAGCCTGATTGATGGGCTGCAGAGCAGCGGGGTTGATGTGACTCATGTACGGCGCTTGGCATTGCAATGGTGAAGTCCTTTTGTGGAGGTCGCATGAGGTGAGATGACATGGAGGAGGAGGAGATGGAAGAAGAAAGACCAGCCAGGATGTGATGCAGAGCGCCACACTGCAGGTTGTTTACCTAGAAAAGCGACGCGGGCCAGAATTGTGTCTGACGTCTCCTTCGCCAAAGGTGTCGCGGGAGCCGACATTTCATAGTAATCATTGGAGAACTGACAGTATCAACGCTTGTCAGCACCAATTAAGAGCTTTATGTCGTTTTCCTCCCATTCTCCTCCCCCTTCCCCTGTCTCGCTCTGAGGTCCACACAGATTCGTGGCCCCGGAGGGGGTGTCTAGTAATCTGAGACGGCGTTCACGCCGAGTGAGATGGCGGGAGAGGCGCTGCCACCGCAAAATTAATTTCCATGCACACAGCGGCGGTTTGAATTTGGAAAACGGTGGGATTTTTCCCAGTGAGTGGGAGTGTGAAGGTGTGCGGCGCCGGTAGTGGCGGCAGGCACGTGGTTTGTAGCAGCTCCGTCGCCATGGAGACAGTGCTTTTTATCGTGACGCCGGTGTGAGTGCAACTACAATTGGCAGCAGACGGGAGCAACATGGCAACGCCGAAATCTGAGCGAGCAGCCACCGGGCAAACGTCCGGCTTTCTGAAACCTGGAATTATTTCCTCTCACGTGTCCTTCACCGTCTCTCGCTGCAGT